ATGTATATGGGGACTTATATGCATATGTTAATAGATCCAAAGAAACAAAAGCACGGAGTTACATTTCCAACCAGTATTAGCCTCACAAACTAGGCACGGACTCTCACACAGCTGGCATGCATCAGCAGCCAAACTCTACACTTGGTTACATTCATATAACCCCACCCAAATCAGCGTAACTGTGAAACTGGCCCATTGGAATAAACTTGCACTGTCTCAGCCTTGAGCTGTAAGAGCTGGCCAGAATATCTGTACATGAGCAAACACTACCATATCTACATTTTAGGATCAGTTCTGTGTTGAATACTCCTCAAAACAGCCATTATACTAGGGCTCTGACAGATTATTCATGTAATGCTACAGAAGTAGATCTACATGGCAAAGTGCAAATACAGCAAACTTCATTTGCCTGTGCTCCAAGCAAATGCAAGGCCATGTGCGTGAGTGAACGATACAGTCAGTGAAGCACTGAGTCCCTGCCAATGGTACGGGGTCTGTACTGGTATAACCTGCTTATTAGCCCTGTGCTGAGCAGTCACAGCTTCTGCTCAGCTACATCTATCTGCTTAGGTGCTGGCACATTAGTTGTATCTCTGTACAGCATGGTAGACACAAATCCCACATATCCCAGAGACACTCTGCTCTGAGATTCTCAATTTCTAACCCTGTTTCCAGGGACAAAAACCTGGCACGGGGGGCAGGGAGGAGGAAGAGCCAAATTTCTAGTAGAACTTTGGAGCCAGCTTCCTCACTAAATATCATTCTGGCTTCACTATAATGCCTCCCACCACAAGAGTCTGGCTGCAAATAATACCGTCTCTCGAAAGCCCAAGAGCTTTACCCGGGATTTTTCCAATTGTATCTGTCATTCTGGATGACTGGTGAAATTGCTTGAACCCTCAAGATACTGCAGTGCTGCTAGAAAAGTCAGGGCACTGGCTGAACTCAACAGGGAGGTGAATAGAGTTGGATAAAATTTACAGAGGAACTCGACCACAGACACACATCAGCATCTGCTGCCTGAAGTGTGGGATATGTGCTGTACTAATTTTACCTATCTTCACTTCCCATTTCAGACAGCTTTTGGTAACAGCAGAACCCAGAGCTGACAAACATCCCACATCCCAACAGCTCAGGCTCCCATTTATCTGAGCACCCAAAGAGGCTGCGGTGATGCCTAGGCAGGTAGTGCATTTCATATTCCAGGTTGGCAGTGTTCTTCCATTTTAGATAAAACACAGATGTATTTTAAACGCTCTCTCCCCAGTTCTACAAATAACTCTATTTGGAAAAAAAGATAACTATTCTCCTTCATTTGTTGTTACCTCAGTTGTAAGAAAAAAAGTATGAAAGACACAAAAATCAGCCAAAAAATCCAAAAGGGCGTTTTCAGAATACAGCAACAACAAAATACACTTAGTGTTTTTTTCACTCACCTTAGTTTTTACTACAGCTATTCAAGTAAATCCTTCCTCAATGGCTTATTGATTGCAAGTTTGATTATTCTCTTGAATTCTAACATCCATAGACTCGATTTTATAATATCAATGGGAATACATAAAAGCCACACGCTCTGCAGGATAAATGAATTAGCATGGTACTGTTATCTATTTACCAGCCACCGGCTGCACTCACACACACTTGCACTGCAGGTGGCCAGCAGCATTTAAAGCAGAAGAAAGCCTAGTTTCTCTACTTGTAATCATACTTCACAATCTAAACCACACATATTTAAATAATCTTTCAAAGAATGTTATGGAGAAGAGAAAAAAACCCCTGCTGGATAATTACACCTATGTCTGTGTTTAATATGAAAACACAAGTTTCATAACATTAAGAGACATTTCCTGCCAGCACTGGTGGCACCCTGGAGCTCAGGCTTCTGCAGCCCGCCAGTTGCCGTGGGTGGCACTCTTACACCATCTCCCACTGTCTTTGGGGCTTTGTCCCCAAAGAACAACCACAAAAGCACTGTTTCAACCATGGCTTATGTATAGCAAACACATTCATCACCCATTTTAAGGAAAGAGCTGCAGCAAAGATAGCTATCAGCACATAGCCGCCTCCATTCCTAAGTGAGCAATCTGTATTTCTGTCCTCATCAAATACAACTGCTCAGCCCACTGGCCTCTCAGCTCAGGTGGTCCATGAGTTATCTCACTTTTAAGTTTACTCGAACCCATCATGGGCAGCATTACACATTGCTAAAAGCCCCATAAGGTATACATTCAAGAGCAAAAACATTTTTGTGATATGAAAAATAAGAGATTGAGTCATCATCAGTGTGGTAATGAAAAATAAGGCTATAGGCTTTTGCAACTGGAGTTAACTGGTGGAAGTTCCCAATTCCATCAGACACCAGTTTGGCCACTGGTAACTTAGGTGGCTTTCTGCTAGTTGGCTCACTGTTTTTTTCCCCGAAGGCTAGCATGAGCATAGGAACCCCAGAAAGGGGTCTGTAACTGTCCCTTTCCAGGGAAGATTATAAAGTCGTCAGCTTATTTGAATGAGCTTACATTTGAAAAAAGGGTGGGTTTTTCACTTTATTGATGCACTCTTCCACACAGGATTTTTTCAAACCTACATCAAACAAGGAAAAACAAATGCTGAGAGGGCAGATTTAGGACAATTTATCAAGGTCTGGGAAATAGCTTCCAGATGGATAGAGCTGTTTGGTGCTGGCTGGTGAGAAGGAAGCAAGGTATTGTTATTGAATTAGCATGAATCTCTGGTGGAGAACTGCATGGTAGATAGAGTGGTCCTTTCATATGGTTTGCATTTGGACCTGTCATATTTCATTTTTATTCAAAAACCTGTGGTAAAGACACACAGTTCTTCTTGGCTTATTAAATTTCCACCAATTCTCCCTGTACTGTTATCCAGTCAGTATTTTTAAACTCTGCTCTAAGTGCCATGCCTGGGTCTGTTTGCTCTTTGCCATGCTTGGATGACATCTTGGTGCTTACAAGCTCACAAGTGGTTTTAGGTTTTGCCTTCACACACTGAATGTTACCTGAGAAAGTGTGTGAGAAAGGAGAAAAGCTGGATGCTCTGTGAGATGTTTAAACTGAGTCATTTCAAGAGTTTATCAAAACCTTTCTAAGCAAAACACTGCATAATGAGGTCTAATGCACACTAGAAAGTGATTGCTAATATAACTAGAGGATTATTCTTGATTATTTTCTTGTTAATAAATCCTCCCTTTGTAAACATGTCTTCTAGCCATATAAATACATGTATATATTAGTACATTTGCTAATACAGAAATAATGTAAAAACCAGCCAACCCAACAAGCAAAAAACCTAAGGGCAAAAAAAGATATGCTCATAACGAACAAATTTCTGCTTTGAATAACCTTGATACCTGTTCCACGATATATGCCTTATGCAGTAAGGCATATACAAAGATTTATGAATTCTCCTGCTAGTTTTGAAAGTGTTTACTTTTCAAGTTATCCTAACAGTCACCTAGTCCCTTCTGAAGAATTCAACCTAGTTTATGTTAAACATCAAATTAAAATGACTGTTCTTCTATTAACCTGAGGAAATAAACAGCCACAGTTTCCCGCATTGCAAAGACAAATCAATTGTTACCAAGTGGTTAGTTTCAGTTAAATGAATTTTTGACAATGTGGTCCTAGAAAAGCTGCTGGTTGATATGCTAATGGGTAGAAGGATTTTTAATGAGAGGAAATTTCCAATTTTTTTTCAATTATTTAGGAGAATTGTTATTACACTTGAGTACTAGGCGTGGGGGCACTGTGGTGAAATAGAAGAAATGAGCTTTACATCCTCCCTTTTCCAATGTTTCAGGGATCTACCACCATTACTCTGTTACCACCTGGGATGTATCCTAGGCAAACAGAGAAGGGAAATAGTGATATCAGAACCAACTAATTCCTAAATCTTACCTGAAATGTAAGACATGGATACTTGTGCTTACTTCCCACATGTATGTCTGTTTTTGCCCTTCATTTTTTTCCCTAAAGTTCTTATTACTCTGTGTTTTATGAGCATCTGCTTCAACTGACCAAGACTCCGTAAGAAATATCCAATGAGGCAAATAAAATCACAGTCTACAGGATACAACCTACTTCTTTGGCTGTAACATCCGATCCCCATCCCGGCTGTGAACAGATCATATGCCTCACTTATCACTTATACGTAATCCTTCAGCTACTGACTACTGAGCTAGGATTCCAGTTATATCAACTCTGAAACAAAGTCTTGGTAGCTTTAAGTTCTCATGATGCAGTGTTAACAATGGGAGTTATACATCACTCCTGAAGAAACTGCATTGCTCAATGACATGATTTTCCGATTTTCAAAGGTGTTATCAAGATACTGACACTGCATGCTCACAATGCTTGGCATCTACAGGATTCCACATTTGCAGATCCCTCTATGGACATTAGGGCTTAGAAGGCAGAGACAGCTGAGCTAGTGGTTCTGTCTGATCAGTTATCACCTTTCTGCTAATCAGTCTGTGTAAGATGGATGTAAACTAGCAGGTATCAACATTCCGTCACTGTGGACTAAACTGGCCCTTAATTCTCATCTGATTTGCCTCCTCTTTGGCTTGGCAGCCTATGAAATGGTTATCATGTTTCTGGCAAAAGAAAAGAAATTAAAAGGAAGATAAAAGCAACTTGCCATTTCATATGGATGTCTACAACAGAGCATCCGAGAATGCCCAAGGTTGGAAGTGACCTCTGGAGATCGTCTAGTCCAACCACCCTGTTCAAAGCAGGGTCAACTACAGCAAGTTGCTCAGGATGATCTGTATAGCCACAGCGCAGAGAGAAAGAAATGCCTTTCCCATTGCACAGGATAAGATTTGTCGCAGGGTACAGTTGAAAGGTCACCTACAATCTGCTTGAGTAAGGGATCTTTTGAGCTCAGTTCCCTGTAAAATTGACTTCTCATGGTACAATAATTAAGAAAACAGAAGGCATGGGGAACGCTTTATTGCTTTTCATGTAGTTCATTTGTAGTCATACCTTGAAGCCAAAATGGCAAGTGCACTGATAAAACTCCACTGGATCATTGTTGCATGTCCCATTGTTCTTACATGGATTGGAGAGGCAGGGGTTACACTTGGACACAACACTGATATCTACTGGCTCTGGAAAGGCAAAACACAGTGTATTAATAGAGAACTGGATTACAAAATTAATACTTCCCGTACTCACACATACATTTTTCCCTAATGCAGTATTCACCCTGCATTGGCACAAATGCACATGCTGCAGGTGCAGCTTTACACAACAGCATGGGATTCCCAGGGATCAGAGAGGATTTAAGTACTTAAATCAAGTGCTAAGCAAGTCTCAATGATGCTTATATTCTCCTGGACATGCAAACATCAGCTCTGAAAAAACATGTTGGGAATCTCCAGAGAGTGGGCTTATATATATATGGCTTTCAGCAATTTTTCCTTCTCTCAGTGCTGGAAATTCTGCAATAGCAACCCCTAGGGAACTATAACATGACATTTCTGTGGCTGGTAACAAGAATGAAAGTGCAGATGCAAGAGCAAAAATAAAAAACATGCATAAGAAAGATTTAGTTAGAGGCTTATGGGAATATTTAGGTGCAAAGTGTTCTACCATCCTTAATTTTAACAGAGTTCAAAACTTATTTTCTTCCTGTTCTGCCCAGAAGAATGATTATCAACATTCAGCGATCTCAGCAAAATGCAACAAAGACAAATATGCAAAGATGTAAATGTATGCAGGTGAATACACGTGGCTGTATTTAAGCCATTTAATAAACCACATTTTTTAACAGAACTCTTACAGAGAACTAGTGATGTTTGTGGGTGAGCAGGAAAACGAACACAGACCAAAACAATACTAAGTACATTTGGGTTTTCAAGTCAATCAATATTTTATTGTTGAGATTTTACAGAAAGCTAATTTAGACAGTTATATTTACGGTTAAAGAAATGGTGATTTTGAAATGACTACATGTCAAATATTAATAAGTTGACAGCTTTTACATGTAAAAAATAAACCCTAACATTTTAACAGGGCTTAAATTATATCAGGCAGTAAAGACCCCAAAATAATTTTATTTCATTTTTAAGGAAATACATTTTAAAAGAACTTAAAAATGGTCCTGTGCTAATCAGAAGTGGGCACAGAGCTTCTGTTATTGCATGACAAATGATAAGGAGGAGTAAATTGTGAAACATCCAAAAGTGAAGAAAGGAAGCTTATACTTGATGCTACAGAAGAGGTGGAGCTCTAGAAGGCTACCAAAACTAGGGATGAATAAAACCCTTCCAGTCAAGGATGTGCTTTGGACTGTCCTGTATGAGATACAAAAACCTTCATTATTAACTTTGAATACTTGCACAGCACCAACAGGGGGTAAGAACATTACAGAAACGTGTGCCAAGGACTCTCAGCTGAAAAGCACCTGCAATGTAAAGGCTATGTCCTGATCCTATACTGATGGTGGTGTTATCAGGGCCGCTGACTGTGGAGTGCAACATGCAATGGTCTGTTAACGGGGCACAGTTGATTGCAGACTGCAACATGCGATAACGAGGAGAAAGTAGACGAGAAGTAACAAATCCAAAAAATGAAACAAAAGATCGTTGTCGTCCTCTTCTATCTTTGTGTTTATGTCTAACTAAATGCCATACATGGAGTTAGGACAGCAAGAAAAAATAACTTCTAAATTTCTGGCACTGACAGGGGGTGGAATGTGACACATCTGAGCTACTTTTGTCTTGAAGGTAGAATATATGGAGAATATACGAAGGTGGCTCCTCAGAGAGCTCATGAGACAGGCTGCAGTGCTGCTCTTCTAGATTTAGAGGTCACTAAGCCAGAATTCGTTCTGTTATTTATTTATATCATAATACACATGCGTACATTTTCCATTTATTCCTATGGCATAGATCAACGCTAATTAATGTAGGAGCTAATAAGAACAGTGTTAGTTCCTAGCAGTTAAGTAGTTCATCAGTTTGCCCTTGTGGATTTGATTTATAAATCCACATAGCAAAATGCCCTCAGCCCAGCACATTCCTTTCCTCTACTGCATAACTAGGAGGGCAATTTAATAAAAAGCAGAGCTGAGTTTGCATGACTTGCACATTACATACTTTTATTTTCTTGGCTCTGCTGAGACATAACCTTCTGCTCAGTCACAGGCTAAAACCATAATTTTAACAAGAATAAGTTAAACTCTACTTTTTTTAAAATGTAAAAGTTACTGGAGGTCACACAGGATATCTACGCACTACCTTTATACAAGCATCTCAAAGTACCAAGCTCAGCATGGGCTGACTTCTGCAGCAATAACTCAGGGTTTTAGGGGGACAGAGGGTTCAGCCCACCCTGAGCTCCGTGCTAGCAGTACTTGAGCTAGGACTGAATCTACGCAGGCAAGAAGTACAGACATATCCTTGGACACCGCGTCATCCCAGTCTCGTTCTTCTCCTGACAGGCACAAGTCACAGCTACAGCTTAGCGATGAGAAGGTGATGGAGCTGCAGGACAAACCGAAGCCACACTGTACCCTGCCACAGGCCACGCACATGGCTCCACCCAAGGGTAAACCTGCACTTGACCTTGTAATAAATCCTGTTGCTCTACCATAAAAGAGCATCATCGATGTCCAGACAGAATAGCACGAGGCATTGGATCTCAAACATGCACATGGGAAATGGGTTCAGTTAGACTACCAAATCATGCATTCTTTTTCAAAACATATGTACTGTGATGAGAAAAGGTGAATTCTTCTAGGGCCTGGACCTTCTTGGAGTATACTGCCACTCGTCCAAACCATCCACAGTTTCTGCTTGTCCAAAGACCACCTCCGAATCAACACTTTTTTTCTCCTTTTCTATTCAGATAAAGTAAGCCATGGAGACAATTGGGATAGCAGAAAGCCCATCAGCTTTCTAGTGGACCAAACTAGTATTTACATAAAAACCATACAGCTGTTTTTAATAGTCTGGATCAGAGGTTTACTTGTCTCTTGCCTAAGAGTTGCTTGCTTAGTTTTGAGAGAGAGTGAGTGTAACTATTGATATATCACAGTTTCAGAATGAAGGCATCATCTAGCTTCTCTTTCTGGATTAATTTTCAGACCCTGTTTAATAGGTAAATACGATCATTTTCTTTGTTTCACCATATGTGAACAAGTACTTTATTTGATATTTAGGGTATATTTGTACTTCACATTTGAGAGACTATTATGAAGTCTGTAGTTCTGATAATTATAGTCAGAGTTCTGATAGTTTTGAGACTGACATTTCAAAGTAATTAAATTATAAGGTTACAGTTATTAAAATATATTTGAAAGGACATAAAAATCAGCTCAGGCTTGGGAACCTGTTTTCTAAACCCACCTCAACACCATCATTTGTTTGTTCAGCAGTTTAATCTCAGCCTCTATAAAATCATGCTGTCAAGCAGTACCGTAAATGTGCATGGCACTCTGAGAGACACAAAAACAGGCTTTATGCCCTTATTTCCATTTCTAAGAGAGGCTACTGACCCATCTTTTCCACTACAAATATAGCTCCATCTTCACGTACTTACTGGTAACCTAAGCGAACCTCCAAAACCTTTTTTACAATAAGAACATACAAGTATATCCTAATCTACAGTCAGTAATAAGCTACTGACTTTATCCACAAACAAGTGTGCCCCTTGTCATTTGTCTAACTGCTTTCTAATGCAGCATACTCCTATCACTGATTAGCCCTAATCGTTAATAGCTGCACCTCAACCCTCCCCTGAATGAATGTACACTGCATTCAGACAAGAAACGTTTCCCATAATCTACAGTTCTGATACAGACCTGATGAGGACTGTTTCCAGATCTTCAAATGAAAATGTACTTTTGATAAATATTTGCTTTGCAGAAGAATTCTGTTTCTCAGTTTTCAAGTAAATGTACATAATAACTAGTGCTCTATATTTTTAAAATAACCCTTATTTTACCAGTTTTCTGGGGTAGGTAGAAGGCCCAGCCCAATTTATTTGCTCAGATAAGTTCTACCAACATCCTATATGGTAACTTGCCATTATATAATCTGGTGCGAGCAACAGGAATACTAACTCTTCTGAGGTTTGCTGGTTTTCCTTCCAGTGGTGCAGTTAACTGCACTTTGTGGAAGAACACTTGAAAATGCAACTTGAATGTAAAGTGATGGTTCAGAAAATGAAAGCCAAAGCCAAACCCAACTCCCCCCCAAACTCACTTTAAAACCGAACAGCTTCCAAGAGTATAAAAATAAAGCACTGTATATGAGGAAAAGCAACAGGACTGAACAGAAGGCCTCCCAGCTTGCTCCTACCTTTGCACTGGAAGTGGTGAGTCGGCGTTGTGAGCAGCAGCCTGTCCACCATGGCGTCAGGCCCGCTGCAGCGGGCTATCCCTGGCTCTTTGTACCCTGCCTTCACCCACTCGGAAAGCCAACGGAGGTTGCAATCACAATACAAAGGGTTGGTACCTAGAGCCCTGGTGGTGTAAAACAATTAACAGCAGTTATTTTGGCTTGCAAGCAAAGAAAACATCCCTGATCTCTTCGAGGCATGTTTTACAGGAATGCTGTACTTCAAAATGTGGGAAAGATCTTCTGAGTATTTGGGAGGTCTTTTAGATTTATCTCCTCCAGTATTCCCACTCTCTTTCTTTCTTCCCATCATTAGCTAGGGAGATTGTATAAATACCTAACAACAAATCACTTTTTCAAACAGTTGTGCTTGAGCAATGTCGCCAGACATATTGCTTTCATCAAACTTATCACACAGGTTTCTGTCATTTAAGTCTTTGGCCTTAATGAGCATATTCTAACAGTGAATTGTGTAATTTAGTTTGGATCTGATGACTCATGTCAATGTCTTCTCACTAGATCAAACATACACACAGAGGATACCCCTGTTTTCAAAACTGTAACCTGACGTCTGCTAGATTTGTTCATGGCTTTGAAAATACATTTGCTGGTTAACCCATCGCTTGAGTTAGGTCATATGGTTGATGTAGATGCATTCACATAGTCCAATTATAATTCACAGAACTTTTTCATTATTCATGGAGAGCTATCCAAAAGAAAACAAACCTTTTTACCTTAAATTTAGGTGCTTTCTTGACTAATTTATACTACTTTTTCTCTTAAAGAAAGTGTCTTTTCAGGCAATCAGTCAATTACAAACAAAGTCCAGGCTTCAGAAAAGTCAGTTTAAAAATAATTAATTTTTGAGAGTGTGAAGAAATTGGAAGTCTGAATTTATTTTGTTGAAAGTAAATGTAAGGCTTTTGCTGTACAACACCTGAATTGCCACGGGAAGAAAATCAACTAAATAAAGATTAGCATGGGGAAGACATACTAAAGAAACCAATAATTCAAATTGGGTTTTAGACTTTACTATTTCTGCAAATGTTATAAACTATTTTTAAGATGGTATTTTAAACTCAAGCTTCTTTCAAATAAAAACATATCAGACAGGATATTAAGATAGAAACCTCAGTAAATTTGTTGATACATTTCTATTGGAGAGACTAATGAACCCACTGTGCCCTAGACAGATTCATAATGAGAGTTCATAGGTTCAAACCCTGTCTAGGGCTCATTCATCAAAATTAAATGTGTACTGCAGCACAGTATTAAAAAATATCCATCCATTCCTTCTGTAAATCCATTGCTCACAATGGAAAAAAACTACTGGGTTGACTTTTTGACCCTGTAACTGTGATCAACTGGCTCACTTGTCCAAGGTCAAATGAAATGCAGCAGTGAAAGTTGGACCGAGAAATTAACTTTAGCATTGAGCAATTGTAATATATAAAATGGGAGTGGGAGGACAACGGAAAGCTAGTTACCATGTTAATTAATCTTTATAAACCACATTAGACATAAAACTGCTCTATAGACACTAGAAATTATTACCAACAACGTTGTTGTACAACTGCAGAAATTATCACATGTATCTTTCTGTTCTTTTGTTTGTGGTTTTAGTTGGGGTTTTTTTTCTTCATTTCTAAGAACTATAGTGAATTCTTGTATTTTCATTCATGAGTTCTAACACAGTCTTTCTATTTCTTTGCCTGTTGTAGCAGAATATTTCCAGAAGGTAAAAATATCTAGTGCTGTAATGAAATACCACCAGCAGCATTTTCGAAATGTTGTGCAGATATTTCTGTTCAGACACTTTGTTTTTGAGGCACCTTAGAATAAAGTCAATTAAAATGACTCTAGCCATGATAATGTAGTGAAACAGAGGAGGGGACAGCTTATTTTTATAGGTAACTAACATAAATTTGAGTAAAGATGAGGTGATTCACCAGGATTAGGAATCTGAGCTGTTTATTGGAAATATGTCTGACAGAAATACCTGCTGTACACAGCATCCATCACCAAGGGTTTCTTTGTGGAGTCCCTGGAGTGCTGAGGGGTCAGTTTATGTGTGGGCAGTACTTGGGAAATGGAATCAGTTACAGAGTTGTGTGTCAGTGAACAGTAAGGACAGCAAATGCAGGAACCGACCTAACTGCGAAGGTCTCAGTTCTACCCTAATGGATTTTGGGTTCTTTTTAAGTATTAATATATGTGATCCTTCAGTAGTGCTGTAACATTTCTGTCATTGCCCTGGACTAAACAATTTAGTAGAGTCATGGCTTAAATAGATGATTATATGATTCAAGTAAAGTAATAAACAGTAAACAAAATCTGCATGTGTATACCATACACAAACCTTCCCCTGTCTTTAGTGAGGTATATTAGCTACGTAGTTTGTTATAACAGTTACATTACAACAATATGTTTACAATGTAAAGGAAATTTGGTGAACATTTTCTTGTAGGCTTTAAACAGCTATGCAAAAAGTTTCTAAATCTCAGTTTTATTCTTCCAATTACAGACCAACTTAAAGCTATTACAAACGACTAACTAAAATCAATAGTTTTGTCTATGCTACACAAACATATCTTTGCAATTCTAAAGGTTAATTTTATACACACCCACACCCACACACCCTGCCAAACTGATGCAGAAGGCCCAGGCTGAACATCTTGCTCAGCACCTTGGTAGGCAGCTTTCTCCAGCCATAATACCTATCCTACTCTTAGTCACACAGGTTGTAAATTTAACATAAATTTTGGTTCTCCCATGCATTATAAGTTTGATGAGTAGCAACCCCTTGTATCATTTTTCAAACCTTAAACCATTTTTCCAAGTGCATGCTTTCTCCTTGAAGATCTATGTATCAGGAAGAGCTCAAAATGAATTTATTTTAAATTATGTATGACTTCGTTTGAATAAGCACAGCTTTTTCTGGCACGTGAAGAGCAAAATCATTGTGGTTGCTAAAAGTTTCAGAATCCTCTTTAAGAAATTGGAGAGCACAACAGCACTGTAAAATTCAATTGTTCAACTGTGCAAATTACACCCCAGACAGGTCTTATTTATTTTATGGATCCTATTTATTACTGTTCATTTGAGCTTTGTGTATTTTACATTTCTGGCAGCACATACATCTAAACAGATAGACTGCAGTAACTGTATTGGGCCAAAGGGGTTTTTATCACTCCCGAAGGTGAACAGTTTACCCAGAAAAATTGTATCTGCACTTCATTTAAAGTAAACCCCGAGGAAAATCCAAACAAATGGGGCATGATATGTTTATCTCTTGAGTTCTAAAAATACCCTCAGAAGCTAGATTCCCAGTATGGGAGGTGTCACTGCGCTTCCAAAAGGAGGTACAGGGCTTCAGCTCAGACTTTCATTCCAAAATAACACACCAAATAACTTGACTATACTGGGAACATGAAGAAGACATACATTTTGTGCAAAACGAATATTTTCTCTGACTTAGATACCAAGGTGTAAGCTTGAAAGAGAGGTTATTTCTCAGCTGAAGGTGAAATTGCCTAAGTTGCTCACATATGATTTCTGTCCCTACCCATCTAAGATTTCTTTATTTTTTATTGTCCAGAGAGAAAGTGAGACAGAAAGCTGTTACACAGAAATAAACAGTCCAAGGACATATTTGCTATCCAGAAAATATGTAAATATGAACTGAACTTTGTGTTCAGGTAAGTGTTCTGGAGGGCACATTTAAGGTTGCAAAGAGAGAAATAGATATATAAAACCTATGTTAAATGCACACATAATTGTATATCTTGACACCTGTATAAATCAACATCAACTCACATGCATGAGGGCAGCATCAGAGCCAAAAATATTTGTGTCAGCTTGTGAAACTAGTCACTTCACAAAATGACCAACACCAACCCTCTGATTACTTGAGGACAGTAATCAAGAAACATGCTACACAAAATTACTTTTCCTTTACGTCTGTTGTCTAATAATGTGAAGTACCACACATTATCTCAGTGAAAAAACATTTTCTGCTCACTTTTTTGGCACTGCCCTGGTTTCAGCTGGGATAGAGTTAATTTTCTTCCTAGTAGCTGGTATAGTACTGCATTTTGGATTCAGTATGAGAAGAATGTTGATAACACACTGATGTTTTCAGTTGACGCTAAGCAGTGTTTATACCAAGTCAAGGATTTTTCAGCTTCTCATGCCCAGCCAGCAAGAAGGCTGGACGGGCACAAGAAGTTGGGAGGGGACACAGCTGGAACAGCTGACCCAAACTGGCCAAAGGGGTATTCCAGACCATGTGATGTCATGCCCAGTATATAAACTGGGGGGAAAGCTGGCAGTGGACAGCTGGTCAGGAACTGACTGGGCATCGGTTGGCGAGTGGTGAGCAATTGCATTGTGCATCACTTGTTTTATATATTCTAATTCTTTTGTTATTATCATTTTCTTAATTATTATTATTACCACCATTATTATTATTATTATTATTATTTTCTTCCTTTTCTGACCTATTAAATTGCCTTTATCTCAACCCACAAGTTGTTTGGGTTTTTTTCTGATTCTCTCCCCCATCTTACTGGGTGGAGGGAGTGATTGAGCGGCTGTGTGGGGCTTAGTTGCAGGCTGGGGTTAAACCACAACAAGCACCAATTGTTACACTTCAGGTTTATTTTGTAACATTTGCAGCTATTTGTCTTTACAGTTTTTTCATCAGCTGAACTGCTTTTAAAAATATCCTGGACATCCAGCAACACAATAGTAATTTCTGGAAAAATCTGAAATGTCTAATAATTTTTGCAAATTATGGAATGAAGTATTAGTGCTGTGAAATGACCAATTCCCATATGATTAAATATATATCTCTGAAGTACTGATTCATCAACTGGTTCATATACTGACAACATTTCAGTATGCAAAACATATGACACTTATTAAGCAAAGAATTCACATTTGCTTAATATTTGCTCTTTGTGGGAGGTTTCCTGTCTTACCCTAGACCATGACACACTCTGCATTTCAAATAGACAATGCTGAAAGAAAGCCTTAAACACAAACTCCACAGAAGAGGAAACTGTCACGTTTGCTCATTTGGTTTCCCTTAAGAAAATATTTTGGTAACTAATAACAACAGGTTCTAGTATCTTTTTATTTCCTTTGAACAGATGCACTATGAATATTCAGAGTAGAATATGGAAAGTGATCAGGAAAAACAGAAAAGCTATACAATCTTAAATTTGTAATAATATGTACTGTTTTATAAATCTGAAACTGTCAATCAAACAGATGAACCCAGACAGAAGTACTTACAGATGGGACAGGGATACCAGGTCATTGAAAGAACCTTCGGGAACACTGGAAATATCGTTTCCATGGAGTGTCCTAGAAGAGGGGAGAAGCAGGAAGGTATCAAGCCAGTATTTTATCTGCTCCCTACAGGTGAAGGAATTGGTGCTTAAGAAGGATATTTAATTTTGTTTCTTTGAGAGTTGCTTTAAGCTTCACAATTCATGAGCTTCCATGCTTTATTACTTCTATTTCTAGATGTTGGCATTTAAAGTAATGATACAACTGGAACTGTTGGTGACCAATGTTCTAAATTAAAAAGGTGACATACTATTTACGCTATTAAAAGGGTATTGATGACAAGCAGACCCTCACATACAGACCTGTATTCTTTTATAGAATCCCATTAGCTGGAAACACAGGAAAAACAGAACGGGGAAAATAGGAACTGTGAAAGTTAAATTAAATATTGACTTCAGAGAGATCCTAGGAGAGAACAAGGGCCCATGAGGGCAAATATAGCTGCACTTTCACATTCTAGTTTCGCATTCTTACAGTAGGAAATACCTCTTTGTGCAGTATTTTTAAAATCTGTTTGACAAATACATTTATGCTACCAAGGAAAATACTTGAAATTAGTTGGTTTAGGCCATTATTCGCCCTGCGCAAAGAAACTAACATTTTTCTAGCAGGCTTTTCAGGATCCTTTCGAAAGGGTTCTCACTGTTTCCAAGACAATTTAAGCAGCCACTTTATCTCTCTTCTAAGAAATACATTTATGTGTGTGTTACATAGGCAAGCATAAATGGAAAGATTTTTCTTGCAGCTTGTAGAGCACAATACTTGCATTCAAAGTAGCAGACACAAGAGTAAAAATCATTATTTGTGATTACTTGTGGTTTTCATTGCAATTACAACTGAAGGCCCTGCTACGAAGTAGGGCACTGCCACTAGAGGTTGTGACAGACAAACAGAGAGGCAGAGCACTTCTTGCAGCATCAAGGCTATGATCAGACAGGAAAACATCCAGCAACAAATGAGTGTGCGGGAGGGCACAGGATGCGGGGGGTGACAATTGCATAAAAACTATCCAGAAAATGCACCAGAGCAGATACACAATCATGTAAGTTTTTTTTTATAAATAAAATCAGCTACTCAGCTGCTGCATCCTCTGCCTCACTAGATAATTATCTGGCAAAAAATAGCATAGAGAAAAATATTTATAGTTTATTCTAACTTTTCTAGTTTGCATGTCACTGAATATGAGTTTACTCCTTCACATAGTAACAGACAGTTAAGAACTCATAAGGAGCCAATAGGACTCGATTCTGCTGGATCTCACTAGATGTTTCTTAAACAGAAGTTGGTAGAAAACTTGCAAAGGAGAAAGACATCAATATTTTAAAATTATATTTTCTTTTGCAGTTCTCCCCTGAGCTGGTTCAGTTATAACAAACTGCTGTATTCTTTATGTCCTCTTTCCCAGGTCTAGAAATTACTGTCAGTGCTCCAGATGTGGCAAAGGAGGGTGGAAAACAGAAACCTGCTGTGTCAGTTTTGTAGCAGCTCTTTCCCTTGAGTCATTTATTTTCTAATTTACCTTGTGATTTGGGGAACACAGCAATCATATCTTATTTTTTATTCTGTGACTGTACAGATTCTTGAAATGGTGCACACGGAGTTTATTTAGAACAAACCAAACATCTGGGCCCATGGAAATACACAATAGCCCCAGATGAAACAAATGCATCTCTTTTTGCATTCTCCTTTCCCTAATACCACTATAAGCTTCACCAAGATCTACATGGTGCCTTATAACTTTTATGAATTTCACCCTTACACTGTGCCTTACACCAGCAAGGAAAGTCAAAGTTGTGAGGGGAAGATACACCTTGTCCTCTCTCCTATGAGGCTGGGCCCTACCATGGGGCTGTGAACTATGTGAGCATAAGCAATGTTACCATGATCACGTTTCACAGCTGCTCATTGCAGCTGCAGTTTCTGTCTTATTGTATTGCAAAGTTTTTCTACAGAGCTTGAAACCACAAAAACTAGAGCAGAGTTATCCTGCTGGCCTCTCTCTCCAGTTCTTGATGCCAGTACACCAAAACCTTCCCCTTCAAACATCCTGATTCTGAAATTTTCTTTGAAGCATACCTAGGTTTTGCCTATTAATAATAATAATACTTGGCATATATAAGGATGGATCTCCAAGCAATTAATCCGAACAGGAACAGAAGGGATATGAGCTCCCACACAGTAACTCCAGACAAAGCACACTCGCTAATTCTATACAGAATGACCAACTCACTGAGACATACCCCACAGCTATTAAATAAGGAGTATTTTTGTTGGTATGTGGATGCAAGGTCAGGCCTGGTCGACAACTTGTCATCAAAATGTTCCCTCCTTCAACAAAATGAGCATATTTAAATAAGCAGCCACTCATAATGAGCTTATATTCTGATCTTTTAAATCACTTAAAGATGTGCAAGACAATTCTCTCTGAACAGACAACAGAACTTATATTTATCTACATGTCATATCAGTTGTGTTTATTCCGTGAAGGGGTGTGGAAACTTCTTCCAAGAGAAGCTGAAGAATGACAAAGCCATTTATCTGGAAGAAGGTAAAACCATCAAAAATATAAAAACATTTGCAGTGAATGGCTTGACTACATATCTCAAACATTGAGGTACGTTTCATGGATGCAAATGCCTGCATTTTAATAAAAAAATCACGTCAGCAACATCATCACCTGTGCAGCTAAAATGTAATGATAAACACTAAAAAACTTGAAACCCACAATAATAAGTAGAGGCAAGAGAATTCAACAGTGCAATAAAATCTGTTTCCTCTTGGATCAGCAACAGAAACACATTTTTATACCAAAAAGCCTTCTAAGCAAATGATCAAATAAAATCTTAAACATTTGGACAGTTAAAACACACACATTGATGTGTGTGTTCTCCCTCAAAAGCACAACTTCTAGGTATCCTCTTGTCTAAATGTTGGTAAACAGCTGGGCTATGAATTTAAGGTGATGAGGATCTCTTCTCAGAGCACAGAGTAACAAAACACTTGAATTCTTGAAACAAAAACTTTCTTTTACATGTAATCTCACGAACTTATTACCTTGTCTTCAGATAAGGAAATGAACTAAACATATCCTTCTGGGTTGGGGGGTTTTTTTGGTTGTTTTTTTCTTTTACTAGCTGTTCCCAAGTCTCCTAGCCCATTGTCTCATAACATTAAGTTACTATAGACACAAAGGGGATGCTTTTTCAGTAAACAATGATCTACCCTGTAATGACAAAATGTGGCTAAAAGCTTGGCTGAGCTAACAAAGCCACATCCCATCAAGGGCAAACACCTACAACGAACTCTGAAGGATGCCAAATCCTACAGGAACCAACACAACTCAGATGTCAGAGGAAGTGGGAAGCCACAGTGGCATTGCTCAATGCTCGTAACAACAGCGCCTTTTACAGATTTAACTGGATAAGTACAAGTAGTCATTCTGTGATACAAAAAAACCCAACAAACCAAAGAAACAAAGCCAAATAATATTTCTGTTAGGCCAAATGAGTGCAGCATCCAACAACGAAAGCATATTGCAAAAATTGGTTCCAAGGTTGTGCCTGAAGAGTATTAGTGGTAGCTTTACCATCACACATATTACTGTTTGTGTGAGCTTCGAACTGCAGTAAATATCCATCAGTTTTCAGTAAAACTAGAATATAACGTGTTAGTAGAATATTCTGTAGCTCATTTTATAATTTTTTTTTCATAAATATAACATGGAAAATGGTTTAGTGATCTGAGAGAGTATTTTTATTTCTTAATTAAATCAGGACAAAATGTCAGAAGTTATAACATTGTCACACGATAAAAATAATCTCTAAAATAATCAGTTCAGGCCTACCAGAGAGTTCTAATATTTATAATTACTTTGTCTCAATCTCAGCTTTTTTACTCTGTTTACATTTAGCTTCTAAAAAGACTAGTTTTGGACAAAAAAGCCCCAAATCAAAACCAAAAAACAAACCCACAATTTTTCACTGCAATAGCTTTGGTGCAAAAATTACCGACATCAACTTTCGCTTATTAAAAAAATTCTTAATACTTGATGTTGAAATTGCTCCCCAGCACACTTTGGCTGCCATTATGGATAAGCCATGTGAAGACTGAAGATTAAAGGCCTGATCGTGTAAACACTGATATATATTCAGGCTTCAGTATAAATATGTTGACTCTGCAGTTTTCTCAATTGGGCTTGTGCTGAAAAGTGTAAGAGACAGAAGACAGAACCAGATACCTGTCAAAGATCAACTTCATCATACATCTATAATTTTTCTGATTTTCAAATACATGTTTTCTTTATTTACTATAAAGAGGCAAAAAGTAAAGAAAACATAAGGAATTTGGAAGACACAGAAGCCTGTATGAGAAGGGTCTGCTACCTTCAAAGGCATGCACAGTCAAAGGTAATGAGATCACTACATTCTTTTTATTAAAAAAAAAAAAGTGGAAATTGTTTTGCTGATGTTTTCTCTTTTAAATTCCCCTGAGAATATGGATAATAAATAACTGACAATAACAGATTGCACACTGTCACTCGGAAGCCATTTTCCCTCTGGAGAATTGATTTTTAATAACAACATAGATGACACGTAGCAAAAGTTGTAGCTGATACCAGAGTTTTGTGGGCCATAACAAATCAAATCAATCTGGAGGCTTCCAAATGCATGGAGCAGAGGCAGAGATTCCCATTTAGGCTTCATTTCATTTGTGCTGCTCTGTGCAAGACAGGGAGGGCTTCTCCCTTGAAGGAGGAAGATATTTTTTTAATTTGATTAGCAGATCATTTAAAAAACCCCAAAGATATCAGTTGTTATTAAAATATTGCCCTTTGTTTCAGTCTATACGTGGCCTGCGAGAACAGAAGTAAAAAGACAAATTGTAGCTGGTGGAAAGAGTGAGGCATCGTATGCTCTCTTACTCTGCACTGTAATTCAGTGTAGAGAGACCCAAACTAGCTTTAATCAAGCTAGCTTGCATATCAGAAGCAGGCCAGAAGACAGCTCCATATGGAATAATTTATTTGGCCGTGAAACAGAATATATTCGTCTGTGGCTGAATTTCAGGACTCACGTAACAGCTCAAATGTGACCATCCTAGTGCGCTAGAAAACAGAGTCCCAATCCAAATGTAAAACAACAAATCCAAATCACGTATCTTTCTTGGTTTTACTAATGAAAACTGGGATGCTAAAGCTGTCTCAAGTTAGGAGGTTGAAACCTAGATGTCTATCTATTTTACCACTCAAACCACAGTGAAAGAGCTCAGCCAAACACCATTGCCTTCCACAGTTGCAGTAGTGTCCATGTCGACAGCTTAATTACGGAGTCAGTGCACAGCAACCATTGCTCTTTAAATTCACAGAAACTTCTGCATGTGAATGACATCTAACTTTTAAAAAAAAAATAGAAAATGCTAATGTGAAGTTTCAAAGCACTCAGGACATATTCTTCAACTGCTCTGTCTCGGCCTTTTGGTGTTTAAAGCTTGCTCTTCTTCAGCACACTGAATAATCTCATCACAGATAAGCTATTTAATTTATTTGCTTTCAGTTTACTATGCAAGTAATGATAAGCTACTTGTGTTGCTGGGCCATGGGGAGAAAGGTGGCTTCTCCACCTTGTCCTGACTGCTGCACATGGGGTCATATGTCTACACAAACAACTGAGCAAACCTAACTCAGGGTTTGTTTCTGATGGGGCAGATGGGGAGTGAGAGACAGTAAATACGAGACTGAAGCAGGAGTCAGTCTAGCAGATGCCTAAGAAAAGCTGGGGGGGCTGCTTGCTGCAAGGAACAGGCCCACAGCCCACACTCTGAGACAATATAAAGAAGATGACTTTCAGAAGAGATTGTAAGCAAATTGTTCAATCCAGAAAGCTGCTGAAAGCAGCTACACTGGAAAGAAAGAGTGCAGAAAAGGATCTCCAAAGAAAGAAACCACACATGGACATCTTTTGAGTGTGCCACCAGTCAACATGAGGTGAAATTTCATTCATGACTTAAAGACACTTGAGACAGGCATCTCAGCATTACTGGCACCCAGCCACTGGCTTGACTTACTCATTGTTTTAGTGTGGGGACTTCTAACTTCCCTTCAGATTGCATTCTTTTATGTAAAAACTTGCCTGCAGAAATCTAAATTAATAGACAATATTCTAAAAATGCACAAGTTTTCAGTAAAGACACTCTTGCTGAAGCATCCAGTGGAAACTTACACTCTAAAATACAATCAAGTTTTCACAGACAAAGAGAAAAGTCCTTTCCTGTGGGGCACCCAAACATTGTTCAAGTAGAAGAGACAAACAGATTCTATGTAGTCTCTCGGAGGCCTGTTTTCATGAGAGTTCTTGTCCCTGAACTATCAGAGGAAAGTCATTCATCCTGCAAATATGTAATTGCTTCTTTTCAAAGTTTAGCATTCACCTGCTCTAGTCATTACCGGACATATTGCACCTAAGTACAAGTACATTGAAGCTAATTGTGTGAAAATATTTATGACTACTGGATCAAGTGAAAGCCATCTGTTCATTAAAAAACTCCCTGCCATCAACAGCATTCTAATCAGCTGCAACTTGGCTGCATTGAAGAAGTGGTACTTACAGCACTCGAAGAGACCTGAGCCCATTGAATGCGTGGACTGGAATGCACCGAAGTCTATTGTAACTCAAGATGCTGGGGGAATGAGAGAAAAGAGTTACAACATTGTATTTTCTTTGATTATTTCACTACTAATTCAACCACGAAGAAGCATGGAAATCCACATGCCTAAGTAACAAGACATACACTAATTGTTCAACACCTAAGGTGATGTCTGAAAAGCAATTAAAACTGTTATCAAAACTTTGGACTACTTACAGTGTTGATAATTGAGTCATGTTGCTGAAGGTGTAATTGGCCAATACGCTTATGCTGTTGTTGCTCAAATCACTGAAGAAACACACAGAGAAAATATCATTTATATGTATGAACTGTGAAATAAGTCTTTTTTAAAAGATTACATAATATCTGCACAGCAAAGTGCTTGAAGCAATTAAGAAGTCACATATTATCAATTGACATTTTTCTAACCAACTCTAGAAGCAAAGCACATCAGAGCCCCCTAAAAAGCCTCAGACTCAGAAATATTAAGGCATATCTCCAGCATACAGCATTCAAAAAAAAAAAAAAATCAGTGAATACAAGCAAAAGTTTTGAAGGAGGATAAATTAATAAATGATACAAGCACGGGTGAATATTTACTGAACCAACTTGCTTTGTAATGTATTACAGGCATACCGTTTCCATATGCTCTTCACATTGACAGCTACTAGAAAAAAAATTACATTTTTCATTTTCAAACAAGTCTTTTAGGCTCAAACAGAACATTCTGTTTTGTTGTTGTTCTCCCTTGAAAAACAAAATTAGAGATGTTTCCAAATAAAACACTCTTTTAAAACAGAGGATTGCAGTTTTCCCTCCATGTTGCTTTTGTCTGAGTTTGTTCTGCCCGTTTGACTTGAGTATCTACACAGCTGATTCCAACAGCATTTGAAAACTTCTGATAAATAGTTCAGCCAAGAAATTTCACTCCTGTGTATTTCAGGCAGCAATTTACTGAACAAAGGCTAGTTGTGTCTCTATCTGTATGACTGTTCATAGCAGAAACAGCTATGCAAATTTTCATTGCCTTAGCATTATAAATACTGCCTCACCTAGAACAAATTAATGCTGTCTCCTCTGTTAATGACCTTTACAGCTTTGCACAGATAAATCTGCCAAGTGAAACTGTAGCAGCCTGCGTGAGAGTTTAGTCCTCTCGCAGAGCCTGGAAGCTCCTGCAGAGGAAGGGTCTCTGGTGCTCTCAGTCACCTCACTCTTTCTCTGCTCTTTATGAACACTTATTGGCAGCAGTGACCACTGTGAAATTCTCTCCAAATTCAAATTACAGAAGGTTTTTGGGTCTTGTGGGTTTTTTTTCCTCCAAATACTAATTATTTATGTTCCACCTACAACATAGTGCAGAAAGAGCCATGTAATTTTCTTGACATTGAAACCACGTGTTTCTTACATCAGTGTCAGGTGTCTGAAAGTGGAGAGCCCCTTCGGCACAGCAGTCAGATGGTTTCCTTCCAGGTAACTGAAAAAAAGTCAGATTTGACAATTACACAAACATGTTAACAAGAACTCCTGTCACTCAATTTGCACCATGAAAGAGGAAAATAAAAAGTCAGTCACTAAGGAAATTATCTTTGATTCATTGCTTTGAAACTATAACAGTTTCTCCTTTATAAGTGAATTATCCCACATGCAAAGGATGACAGTAGCTTATTTATTTTTTTAATTTCTTTTTTTAAGACTTAGAAGTGAATAAAGGATCTCTGGCCTACAGCGAACAGAAATGACCAGTTGGTTCTTCTGTGACAGCAACTGAAAAAAAGGAGAAAAATTATATAGCTTGTGCCCTGAACCTAAAGTTATCTTTTTAACAAGTTTCTGTAAGAACTCTGAGTGCTGACTGATCCTGTTAGGAAGGTTTTTATCTTGTGCATGTAAGTTCCTTGTACAGCCAGAACTGGAAGAGGAGCTGCACTGCCAGGTCTCTGTGTTGCAAAAAGTCTCAGTTACTCTAGTGTCAACACAAACATCCACGAGTTTGATGCCACATCCTTACCTTTCCTCTTCAAAGTATGCTGGTGCAGGGTGAAAACTTGGTACAAATTGAAGACCAAAGACCAAGTTCTCTTTGAATACAGGCTCCTCCTATAAGCACTAAGTGTATTTAATAGAATAGCTTGTGTTTCCAGGGTAGAAGTTGTTTGAGACACCACTGAATGTGTCTCTATTCAGACGCATGCACAGTAGGGCTAAAGCCTTTTGGGATAATCCTATGTCCTCATACAGGCATATAGTACCGGTATTTTGAAGTTTTTCTCCACTGAAGAAACATGAACATTAAGTAACTAAGGGAAAAACCCTGAACAAATACTTTCCAAAAGTTTGCCCAGTTTGCCCAGAAGAAAGCACGGGTACTCAAGACTCCACAGCTGACCTGTGGTAGCAATGGGATGTGGAGATTTTCCTGTTTATTACAAAATAATAGAGACAGAACTGGAGTTCTTTTCCTTAACCTTGGCTTTTGGGTGAAACCGCATGCCTGGAAGATACCAAAGTAATAAGGCTCCAATGGAAATTGACCGCTGTGGTGCCATGACACTCTCAAGGTGATCCTCCAGACATCTGCGAGAAGCCATATCTACCTGGGAAATAAATCCAACTTTCTCAGAAAGTACTGTGTAGGAGGAAGGCATTTTTCCCTCCACAGGTGAGGATAAAAGATGAAATAATATTTCCCCTCCTTACAAGACACTTCAGGGGATTTTTCTTAAGGTAGACATGGGGCAACGCAATTGATGTGGTATGTTTTTGAAAGATAATCAAGTGTAGCCAGGAAATGCAGCCCACAGACACCAGAACACTTAATGTGCTGCCTCTACTGCTGAAAATATAATCCGATAATAATGTTAAGAATTTTTATCCCACACATACAATTTCCTTTTCTTTGGCAACAGACCTCCTTATTCTGTGTTTACTATAGCAAACAACAATAATAGATTATTACTGTGCTGTATGTTCCCTCTCTATGTTAACTGTAACAGCAGAGATATTTGTGTAAACTAAATCCAAGAAAATTTTCCCACAAACTTTATTTTTACATTATTTAAAAATAAAATCTATAAACACTAACAGAATTTCTTACATAATATACTTTATAACTGTCACATTTCTGCCCCCTGGCCCCTTCTATTCCAGCATAATGCCTTCTCACCATTTTCTGCTGCTTCAGCTCTCTTTTCAACTAAACTACTCCAACTGAACTACCCCAGCCTCCTGGTTATCCATTCTGCCTGTGCATAGGATCCCATCAAGGCAGAATTACTTTAGAGCATGCGGTGGGCCTGACCTAGCTCCTGCTAGGATTAGGCTAGACAAGCAGGACTACAGGTTTTTGAATTTTAACCAAAAGCAAAATCCTTCCTTAATGAAAAAAACTATTGCGCCAATTAATCTCTCCATTCACAAAGATCACAATCATCAAGTGACGGTGTTGCACAGTAAAGTTAGCCCTTGCAAAGTAGTGACAGCCACTCTGCTGATGCAAATTATCACAAACCAGAGTATGGGTTATTTATGCCACATTTACACCTCCTGTGGATATTTGTATTCAGCAAGTGTAAAGTCCCTTGCTTCATTTTGACAAATTTTTTTATAGATTATTATGAAAATGGAGTTCCTTGGTGAATTCACACCATAAATTGTTACGTAGAAGATCCTCAGAATTCAGCCACATGTGTTACTATTAAACAGGGAAATCATGTCTCATTTCCCCAGTCATGGTGTGCTATGGATGCAGCAGGCTGCTGGGAGTCTGCACCTTCTCTTTCATCCCAGAAAGCGGCAAATCTTAAACCCATGCATGACAGTAGTTTAAGGTTCCAGTCTTTATTCCCAATGTAAAATCCAAAGGATTTCCAAAAGAAATCAAAAGCAGGTCGTGTATTATGTATTTGGAAGCTATACATGATTTTCCTTTAGGAAAGGAGTCTCAACTCTAGCAATGTGTTGAAAACTTCAGAAATATATTTTCAGGATGTTCTCTTGTTGATCCCAATATGAAACAGCCTGCAATTTGAAGAAACTGATGATGGCTAGCCAAAGTTTCTTCCCCCGTGTTTTGCTTTCTGGTGCAATCAGAAGTCGAGGGTGCACATTTTAATCCAGTGCTTCATTATTCAGACTAACATAGACACACAGACCCCTGGAGTTAAACTCCTACAGAATATCTGCTTTCAATAGCTTTGGATTTGTACTGCAAGCAATTTGATGGTTATATAAATGTGCTAGCAGAAAGCTGCAATACTTATACCAGTGGTATAATTTCTGAATAAACACAATTTTACACTGAAAAATTACTGATAATATACTTTTCATGCATACGTAAGAACAATTCGCCACTGTTAAACCTTTCACCACATTATACAAAGAATGGCAGTATCTTCTAAGCAAAAAAATCATTCATTTTGAAAGCACATTTAAGTGCAATGAATTTGAAATAACCAGAGCTTTTAGGGCATAAAGGCATGCCAAGAATCAGGAGGATGTGAGATGCAACATTTGAAGAAACCAAGTGCTGCAGATGAGCTGTTGCCCACTGCAGGCCAGGCCTCCATCAGAGCAGGGAGGGGATGCAGGGGCAGCAGCTCTGCACCTTGCTGGGCTGAAGGTGATGTGTGGGGGCTACAAGAGGGCTGGAAGCTGGACACAGTGAATAACAGAATTATTTCTGAGGGTGAAAGGGCAGAGTCCAGTTACAAAACTCTGAGTATTTATGTATACATATATATAAATAAAATACCATGGATGAAGCTACAGACTCCCTGCGCAAACAAAACAAAACAAGCCCTAACAGAATGATGTGGAGGGAAGATGGTATTTTTAATTATTTTCAATCCTTAGCCAACGGAAGATTTTTTTTGCATCTGGTATGCAGAGAAATTCTGGCATGAATGAAAAAAATGTACATCTAATTTTAATTATCAGAGTCAAGTTATTAATTATAGTCACAGTCCACAGTGGGTGTCAGCTGCCTTAATATAGACACACTGACTAGTATCCAAAACAACCTCATTTGCTTCCTAAAGTCTCTAGATGCTGTAGTTTAAATATCAGATTGGAAATTGTTTTTTACCCCATGAATGCTGCTGGGAATCTTGAAATCTCAATAATGACTTGTAATCAACAAGCGATTACCAGAGACAAAACTGAAAAAAACCTAAAAACATGAGTTCATGTTCTCATAAAATGCCACCAACTACCTATCAGGAAAGGCTTCTTCTAAAACATGACTGAGTGCTGGAGACAGGTAACTGTTTGGCCAGGATGGCTGGCACTGTGGGGCACGTCACGCCTCGCTCCATGCCTGCACCAACCGCGCCGGCTCTCGGAGCCCAGTGCTTGCAGCAGCCCTGGGGCTCATCCAGCACCTTCCACACACACTAACATCACACATAAAAAATTTAAAACTATGCATAAAAGATGACAGCTGTTCTTTTCCCAACTTGTCTATTTTTATACTGAAACCACTTGGATTGGAGGTGATATAACCAGCACAAGGTGCCAAAGCATCATGTAACAATTTGAATCACTTGGAACCTTTTTTGTACTGACATGTCTCTTCAGCCATAAAGTCAAGCTCACAGCAGCAATCTGTGCTAGGAGAAGAAACTGGAGAGAGAAATCAGTTCTCATGCAGTAATTGAAAAGGCACAAAGCCCCTCCTTTAATTTCTTTAAATATTTCATATAGAATGCTACAGTACAAAAAAAAGATATTTGACAATTTTATGCAGCTCTAAAATTAAGTTATAATCTAAACTTTTTAATGCAGATACCCAATATCCTAAAATTTTGAGGCAAGTTTCATTTCCTAAAAATGGTGTTCTGAGAGAGAATTGGGCTGTGAAAGATGAAAGATCTACAAGGCATAAACTTTAAGAGCTTCAATTACACTTTCTTGAGGAGAAACAAAATTCAAGTATGGATCTAAGTATAAATCTGGATCTTGGACTTTCTTACGTTTTGGCAAGTTTGGACTCTGGATTTTGCTGCATTTGTATGTCAGACCATAGCTTACAGGTCTGACACACAGAGACATGGCTGTGTTTGAGAGAAAAGTGAAGGCCCTGAAGTGAAACTTGTCTTTAGTCTCTATTAGTGCTAACATTACCTTTCTCATATGTACTCAAATTTCATCGGTCATTGAACACATTATTTGATAGTATAGATACTATTTACTTTTTCTAAATGTCAGATTTGAAATGCAGGTTTAAGTCCTCTATTTCAGCTGTAACTAAAATATCCTTCTACAGAACTATCCATTCTCTCAACGGGAGAATTCTCCTCCGCAGTGAATTAAGCAGGCTGTAAAACCTTTTATTATACAGGACCATGTAAGCCCAAGCTTTGATCTAAACTGTTTCTCTCCTTCACTATCAAAGGAAAATTCACCGAAGTCTGCGTTTAAGGGTCAGTGTATAAAGTAGTGCAAATTACCAGACAAGCAAAAGCATTTGCATTCTCAAGCAGATGATTTTCATCAGGTATCTCACTTCAGAGTTATCCCTTTGATCAACAGCAATATAGGCATACTGAAAAATGGCACTAAATTGTTACGATATTCTACATGTATCATAACTACCTGCTTAGGGCATATTTATTGCAACAATTTGCATGGCACGCGTACGAGCCATTTTTTTTGTCACAAGTCAAAAGAAATCACAAGTGCCTCGGAAGATGGAAAGGAGGGTTGAGATTGGTGGTAAATACCTCCAAGTAGATGTGGCAACAAATGTATGGGAAGCAAGTGTCAAAATCGTCTTGGCAACTGGAGATGCAGCTGAATAAAGGTGCCATGCTGAGGCTGAGGCAGCAACAGGCAGCAAACTAGAGGTGCGCAATAAAGAGCTAAAAGACAGTTCAGTGGGATCCCTCTGCTAGTAAGCAGGTCAGCCACTTGTGAAAACTGTTGTGCCAAGTACTGAATGAGCTTGCAGGCTAAATGAACCTAACAAGCAGAACAAAAGACACAAACAGGAGAGAGAAGGTTTGTGAGGAGAGAAAGAGAAATGGCAAAAGTAATGCAAATATTAATATGTATTAATATAAATGGAAAGAAAAACAATCACTCACAATGATGTATGGATGCAGGTTTTCCTAACAATCCCATCAGTGCTATCATATAGCTCAGTGTCATGACAACATTTGGAGTCTAGAGATGACATGATTAGTACATATTTATTCTAAAATACACCATGTTCATTATGTTACAGCTTATGCACACGCCATCCATATAATTGCCTCCAATGTTTTTCCCCAGTGCAAAATATTATTCGCTGTAGGTCCATAAAAGCAGCTGGATACTGTCAGATAAGACTTTATTAGAAATAGACGACGTTTTTGTGGAAAAAAAAAAAAAGAAAAAAAAGAAAAAAAAGAAAAAAAAAGAAAAAAAAAGAAAAAAACCCTAGTGTTCATGCACTGAGGTAATATGTAAAAGGAAAAAGAGCATGGGAAACTTAGTTCAAACAGATTTGGGGGAAAAAAAAAAGAAGAAAAGGAAAGCCTAAACCACTAAGCATCAGCGAGGCTAAGTTCCAAACTAGCTATTTGCATGAACATTTTACTTCTGAACATCTGGACTAGAAAACTGAGTACGTTCAAAAAACCCAAGGCTTCTCTTCAGAACAAGCAAATAGTGGGAAAAAATCTAGGCAGTACGTAAATAGACAGCAAAGGAATTTGCAAGAAACAACATAATATTTCCCTATTCCCAAGAAACTGAAAGAAGACTTGCCCATGATGACAGGGTTTTGTGAAGGAATAGCTGGGAAATAGAAATTGCTTGCATCATCATCCCTCTAAAAAGCCAGGAGACTTAGTGATCTTTTCAACTCTATTCTAGATGGAAGCCTTCCCTGCCAAGGTAATCCCTCCTCCCAAGGGTGGTACAAAGCAAACACAGGGATGTCTCCTGTCATTCCAAGCTCTAAATATGAAGGAGATAATGGTTTTCACATGTTTTGTCTATATACACATTCAAAACAGAAACTCATGAAGAAAGTTGGAAGGAGAGAGCCTGTGTATCCAGTCCACCATGTAGTAAAACATTGCTGGTGATCTTTTTCGCTGAGCTTAGGTACAGTGAAATTTGACCCAGCAAGGGGTAACATTTTCCCTATGTGCCTGTGCGAGAGGTGTGTTCATATTTGCACATTGCTGTTTAATACCTGTTACAATGAAAAAATTCCTGCTTTAAGACCATTGTAAGACCTCTAAAAGAATTTAAAAGAACTTCTGAGAAGGCTATATTCAGCCGTATCAGACTGGTTTATCTAGATACATGGTAGTTCTTTTTCTTAAACCATGTTGTATAAAACCACACTGCAGTTTAACAAAAAGCACTGCAGCTAACGTGCCTTGTAAATCCATATATCAATAATGGAAGTTTATAAAAGCCGGACTGGTGCATTCATAACAATTCCACTAAAACGCTCCCCTGCATCATACCACTGTTCAGGCCTCCCGCAGGGAGGGAGCTGTGGCCAAGAGGCTCTTTACACCCTTGTCCTCTCCTTGGCATGAGCTCTGTCCTTGGTGACCGCAGCTTTGTGCAGGTGCCTGGTGGGAGCACAGAGACCCCAGCACACTGCCCAGAGGTCTCTGACGTGAGAGCGTGGAAGGGGAGAAAGGCAGCGCGGGTTGCGGTAACACGGGGCAAGGATTTTTGAATCTACCTCAGCACCTGTGCCCGCTGTACCAGTGAGAACGGTGAAGGCATCCCTGCGCCGGAGACCGCTGTGGCTCTCTCTAGCCATGCAAAAGCCATTATATCTTCTGTAGCAGGTAACTTCTGCACTTTCTGGTTTCTAGTGCTTAACAGATACCCACTGCTACCACAGAAACAAAACAGCTTTAAGAAGATACTCCAGCCTTAGGACACAGTTCAAGGGATCTAGGACTGCCCTAGGGAAATGGGGGTATTCTGGTGTGAGAAGTGTAAATAGATTGAACAAGATAAATCTCTTTCACCCTGTGCCCAGAAAGCCATTGGGTTCTCTCTGCCAAGTTTTCACTGTCCTCAAAATGAGGCAAGAGGTGGGGTGCCACAGGAGATGCTGTCTAGCACAGCAGCAATGACAATTCTCACAGAACAATAAAAATACTTAAGTTCATGCCTGCAACTTGAAACCTAGATGATATAATCCCTTCTAGATTATGGGCAAAATCTTCATCTCAATCTGGAAACAGAAGGCAAGTAAGATTGATTTTTTTCAAAAAATTATTTATTTCTTTCTTGTCATGGTTTCCACAACTACATGAAATTCTTAGCTTCAGTACCTGCAGCTCATCTTTTGGTATAGATACAAATAAGGAGCTCAGTTTGTGTTGGTTGAGAGGAGAGTGAGATCAGGATTGAATTTTGAGGCAGCTGGGACAGATTCAAGGTTATATTTCAAGAACATGAAATATTCAGAGCCAGCCAGTCCGTGGCTGACTGTGTTCTGCTGACACATTTCTGGATTGAAAGCAGAAAGCCAAACTAGAGGCTTGCACAGCCAAGAGGCTCCTACTGAAGAAGACAGTCACGTAAACTCCTATGAACTCAAACTGCTCGGTTCCAGGCTATTGCCTCATTTGCCAAGAAACAGCTTAAGAAATATAGCAGTTTTCAAGAATGTGAGATTAATTTCACTCTTTTTGTGAAAGTTATGTCGTCAGTGTATCAGATAGTATCAGTAAAACTCAATATGCAAAATAAAATTCCTCAGTGTGGCAGTGGAAATCAAAGTAACATCTGTGATATCTTATTGTTGGCAAGTCACATTTGAATGCAATGAAACCTGAACAAGAATAGAGCAGAAACCACCTTGCGGACTTTTTATCACTGATGGCAATATATAAGGGAATACAGGCCAGGACTTGGCTTTTAATTCAAACCACTATTTAACCAACCCCTGGTTAACAGTGTTCCAAGGATGTATTCATTAATGCAAAATTTCCATGTTAATTTGAATTACCACATACACTTTCAGTACACTCCTCACTCAGAAACAAAGTCTTGTATTTGACTACAACACTGGTAAAACCAGTGCAAACCACATTTTAATTCATTACAAAATTCACTGAACATACCAACTAACTCTGCCAATTCCTTTCGCATAGAAATGTTGATGAGATTGTAACAAGTTTCAGTAATGACTCACCTGGGATAGATTTGAATAAGGACCTAAAGGGGAAAAGCTCAGTATTTCTATTGCCAACCATTTAAGCCAAGCAGTTCCACCAGTGTATTTTCTTTCCATGGAAAGAACCAAATTCAGTGTAAAATCATAGCAAGGCGTACGTGGAAAGATGACTAGAAAAATGGTTCTCAACTAGGATGAATTTACTTTACAATTTAATCAAATTATCTGTTATTTTAGCCATTTCATGAGGTTTGAAGAAAAGAATTCATTGTTTCTTTCCACCACTGGCTTTCTTTATCTTTTTTTTAAATCTCCTCAGAGGATAATTAGCTCACAGATGCATAAGTCATATTTTCATCATCCTTTCAAATTGCCTGTTGTGAGCTTAGGCTTCTCAGAAGCACTACAGGATTATTTGGTACTACTATATGCATTTGTTCCCTACACACAGAATTAATGGGTACAAGGATAGATAAACTGTGTTCCCATTAGAGAGCAATGTATTCAGTCAAGGGACAAATAAGTATAAAAATAACAGTCAAAACATATGGAAAGCACCAAAGCACAAAACACCAGTCACCGAAGTCAAAGGCAAAACCCCCAAGGACCTACAAAGCCTCACTATGATGTAATTTCATGAACTTCTCATGAAAGAAGCTATGTAAAAGGTAACTTACAGCTCAGTCACGTCTTTGGGAATTCCTTTGGGCAATATCCGCAGCCCTTTGTTGCTGCAGCGTACCACCGAGTCCACACAGGTACACTGGGAAGGACAAGGAGGTGAAAGCAAGCAGCTGCTTTCATCATTACCTGCAGAGGGAGAGAACTGGGGTGTTAGGAAGTCAGCTTTAGAGCCCAAAGTCATGCACTTTGAAGATAACTGCTTACAAGGACTAAGGAGGGACATCCCTGAATCCATGGCAACCATCACAATATTTTAAAGTGGATCCTATGCTTTGGATCAACCTGCCTTCATACAGGTTCTTTAGGGAACATGAAAAACAGCGCAAAAACTGAATAGCAATATTTTTGAATAAATATTTTTTTTCTAAGGAGTATCTGCTTCTCTGTAATTTTGCAAATTACAGTAAAATCAGTTATGTGAATCCCAAATCCTTCCCCCACCCCCGATGTACTAGCTGAAATAGAGAACTTGACCAGAACATTGCCCTTAAATTCATCTAGACAGATGATATTCACTACCTACTCTGCTTTAGGAACTTTTTTTTTTTTTTTAAATTCAGCTTTTAGATGTTGATTTTTTACTTTTTAAAGTCAGCCTGGCACTTCATTTATCATCTGAATTGTAATACCTCATTGTTTTTGACAAGGATAACCAGGCAAACAAGAAACTGAGCAGCATACTTCCAACTGCTCGTGATCTATCTGTGCACACATAAAAATATCTACTTTCTCCAAAAATGGTTTCAAAAGTCCATAAACAGCAGATTAAATCTTGTAATTGAAGAACAATAGGATTTCTGCAGAAGAAACCAACTCTTTGAAGTTAAGAACATTAAAGGATGGATTTTCCCCAAAAGCAACAGGCTTTGCAGAATATGAGGCAAATGCATGCTATAGTATCACGATGTATATGAAAGGAAACACTTAGTGGCACGTTCTCTAGATGACAGTGAGAGGAATCACACAACTGTTTGTGAGTACAGGCAGCCTGAGCTGACCAGGACGGAGACACAGTGCTGCAATCCAAGAGCGCACAGCCAGCTGTCATTATGTGCTGCCTTTTTTTTTCAAACTGATGCAAGGACTAATTGAGAAAGATCTGTTTCTTTCTTCTCTCTGCTGGATGTACCCATGAGCATTGAGATTAAAGAATAAGAGTGGAAATCCTGATACAAGATAACAAAATTACCCATAAATGTATGGGTAGGGAATAATTTGTATTCAGAGGGATGGAGAAGGATGACCAGCCTACAGAAGAACAGGGAAGATTTTTTTTCTTTCTCTCCCCAGCTGGCTTAATGACTGGAAACAAAATTCAAAGTCTTTCATAAACCTGCAGAAAGACCATGTTTCTTCAGCATATTCAATTTCCCCCTATGTTCTGTGTTTTACACCCTGCCACCATCTACCTTCCATTCACCACAGCTGTCTGAGTGACTGTATGATAGAGAAAGCTCCCACGTATGCAATGCCATTTTGCAGACTTTTTTTTTTTTTCCTCCTGAACTAAAAGCAAATTATTCTTTAATGACTAAACTTGGGTCCCTTGAGCTCTGAGCCCAAGCACCTGGGCCTGTTGCCAGATTGCTCGGCTAGGACAGGAATTAATTTCTACTCTAAGTAGGAAACTTCTATCACTCTTATGGTCTCTTTAGAGGTATGACTAACTGCAGCTCCAGCATATCTGGTCTTAACAGGCAACAGCAGCCTACAAGTCAAGTTAGCAGTGCATTCATCAGTCAATTTTTCTCCTTACTATTTTCTCTAAAATCTGCTTGATCAGAAAGCAAAGAACTAGCTGGAGAATGAATGAAATGTCAGGAAGTTTTTTTTTAAAACCTATATGGACCCGTCAAAGCATTAAGAATCACTGGGTCACTTCAAATATCTAAGTGCTTTTATTTCCCTTTATTCATACCTGTTATTTGTGAAACTGAACACTATCCAAAACTAAAAGACTTTCCAAGCAAGCACCATTCCCCCAGAGTGTTATCTGAGTGTATGAATAAAGAAGTGGGAGCAAGGGCCAGGATTATAGTAGCATTATACAAAGCAGAGCATTTGTCTAGAATAAATTCATTCTTATATTTAGATGTAGATAGTAGAAATTCAGAAACTGGAAATCAAGAATAAAAACAAACTCCTGATAGGGAACAATGAACTTCAGCTCTAAACAGCTGTCTTCCTCATCACTAAACTGCAATGTTTACCATGCAGTATTGCTTGATAGGAAGGGAGGTCCTCATAGAGGTGCCAACATTATCATAAATGCCAAACTGAATTGAATTTTCTTACCATCGCAGGTGAAGTCCTGGACATCTACATCTTGGATTGGAATATCCTTTAAGAAAAAGGGTTTCAAGCAGCGCGGATTTCCACTGACAATTCTCTTCTTCCTCAACCATTTTCCCAGCCAGGCCAAATGGCAGTTACAATTAAAGGAGTTAGCCAGCAAATTACTGAAACAGAACAAGACATAATCGCATCAAATATGAACATACAGAAATACTGACATAACTACAGGAAGATGATGGGTTCCAAGTCCAAGCTCTTTCCTGCCATCTGTTTCTGTGAGATTCTCCTCTGTTCTACAGATTGGGAAAGTTCTATGCAGGTTTTATACTAGGACTAGGGTTGTAATTAAAATATACGTATATGCATATGTAGATATATATGTTTATAAACCAAAATACTTACTGCTACAACTATTTTTTAGACATACTTATATCACTACCAGGGCTGTATTCATAGTGGATTTCAACCCAAGCTACAGCTCACACCCAAGTCTAAACTCACCTCACACACTCTACCCACACGTGCATGATCTTCAATATCATTATTTCAAGTAATGCCAAGCAAAAGTTTAGCACTGCTAGGCCTTAGCACAGACCTGCAGGTACCACTCCCTGTGTGTACAGCCAAGCTGGCTTAGCACACCGTTCCTTGCCCCAGTATGGTCATGCTTTCCACTCGCCTGTGTTACGGCCCACACAAACCAGTGCCAGGTGGGAGCCAACTGGCAACCTGAATTTGGGTTTCCTACTGAAATGGTAAGGATAGCACTCTCTATGTACACATATAAAGCACCACTGTCAGCTTGAGCCACCTCTTATGAAGCTTTCTAAGGTCAGTGTATCTGTAGTGAAAAGCATCTGCTCTACTGCCTTGTGAAATTTGTGAGGTTTGCATCAAATCTTGCTACAGCTCCCAAAATATCTTTCAAATACAGTTGCAGCCTAGCTGCGGTACTGTGCTGTACAGTACCCAAAGCAATCATTTGACAGCCTCCATCAGAGGGGTGTATTCTTAACGTAGCTTGGGTTAGCAGTGTTTAAAAAAGGAAAGCCCTATCCATCCTGTTGTCAAGACATGAAAACAGATACATAGCAATTTCTCAGTGGAGCACCTGTAACATAGATAGTCAATATGGAAAAGATATTATTAATTTCTATTTCTTAATAGGTTGTGATCCTTTGAATGAAAGGAGTGTAAGGTGACAGTTATTTTAAGCAACCATCTTTCTAAGATAACTAGAATTAGTGTTGAGAATCATGGAAAAAAAAACTTTCTCTGGAGTCCTGTACTGAAATGCCTATCCATAATTTGTGTGTAAGCGTTTTTATAACTAAACTTCAGATGAAGGAAAGAGGCTGATATCCCTGGTAAAACAAGAAGGCTGACTATCTTATGTACAAGCACAGGAAGAATCAATAGCCTCAGTCTGAGGCTGCCTTATCGAAGAAAAATGAGCTGTCAGAGCCCCATGTATGGAAAATGAAGTATCTAAACTAACACTCATGGAATTCTCACATCATCTGTGAATATGTCCAAGAGTTATTATTTTGGTAGTACAGAAAAATAGACGATAATGAAATTTCTCTAAAGCATAGCATAGCTTAAAGACAAAAAAATTTAAGGCCTTAAAGAAACAGGCACTTCAAATGCAGGTGTAGTAGCTGAAGACCTTGTAAGTCTTCACTTGCAACATACTTTTACAAACCTAAACATGTAGTCAAAATCACAATTAGGTTTTCAGCCAAGCAATTCCTTCAGAAAACTATAGTGCTGAAGACAAAAACATATGGCACAGTTGAGGTGTGGCAGCAAGAAAACAACCCCAAACCAACTCCTGAATTATATAGGTTCTAGGCCAACATCACATACCCACAATATGATTTACAGCTGCTCTCTGCATTGTAAAAAAAGCATACTTCAATCACTGTGCTAGCCTGGAGCTCTGGATGTGTAATTACATGTGGATCTAGCACAGACTATTGTACATTGTGTGAAGGGAGAACTGGGGGGGGAGGAGAAAACTCAGCATAATGTTCCATAATAAAAATACTCAACCCACTTCATGCTGACTAGGATTCAAAGGCAAGGCTAACTTGCTGTATAAAGGTGAGAAAACAAACAGGTTACATATGAGCTTTCAGACAGAATGTGCAGAAAAGCACTGAAAGCATTACTCTAATTCTAGTTACTTTCCTTCTGAGTTGTTTCCCATTTTCTTTAATCCATAATGGGACCACATGCAGGATGCCTTGTATATTTTCCATACTGACATACTTTGGCATGAACAGAGTGTTCAAACCAAACATTTAAACCTCCAACGCTAAGTGAACCAATGCTTCAAAGGCCATTTGTTCCACTGATGGAAGAGTGAGATCATATTCACAGAACAACTTCCGTGACACAAATCCTTAGAATTAAATAATCCACAATTGGAAACAAACAGCAGGTGTATATAATCAGGTTTCTGGAAAGCCAGCAGCTCTGAATGTAAAGAATATTTTGCATGTCTAGAGAGCTTCTTACCAGCACATATCAAAAACTTTCAGAAACATTCAAATGTTCAATCTACAAAATGCTCCCATCAAAATAGTAATTATCCCTTTCTACAGAGGAGAGGTTTCTTTGACTTAATGTGTTACTGCTCACTAGCTGAGCAGCAGTAACTATCCACAAACCCTCATTTTCTTCTTGGCAAACGCAGGTTAATGTATGACCTAAAATTTATTAAATCCTTGGATTAGAATTTGGATTATGCTTTTCTTAGGAACTAAGAAAGAAGTTGTTACATATTAATAAATAAACAAATCTACTGTTTTGAAATTCAAATAGCTCTAGGTAAAAAAGGACAAATTTATCTTGTCACACGTTACGCACATGCTCCTGCCACTTTAGCAACACCTGAATTTTGTCCTTTGTCCAACTGCAGAGCAGTGATTTTTTCCTTTAATGTAGTATTAAGTTCATACATGTCCCTACATACATGCTCTTTCCATGGCAAGACTGTGATGCAACTTTTGGAAAAAAATTAAGATCAAGGCTCTCTATAAGTATCACATGAGACAAGAGATTCCCTACTTCACTGGAAAAGCAACTGAAAGTCTGGAAAGGCCACTTATTTGCAAAAGCTTTATTTTGGAATCTGGCTATTCAAGTGGAGTTCTCAAATCACAAACAGCAATGTTGGGCAGACAAATTGTTATAAAAATTCATAATTAGTAATCAGAGTTCCAACACGTAAGACAGTGATTTAACCACTCAAACAGAAACAAAGCAATCAAGCTTTTAGCAAAGATGTCATACTAACATTAAAATCAGAAGTGTTTACTCAAGGACATAGACATATTTTTAAAATCAAGGGGGAACAGAAGTCTTGAGGAATGAAATATGCATAACCTACTACAAGCGTCTCTTAAAAATTGCAAAGAAGCCATAGAATATTAACTGTTTAAAAGGATCCCAGTGACCTGTTAGAAAAACATGCTGAAACCCATCTAGACATTGTTGAAATTAGGTTGCAAATATATCCTGGAATTTAGGATAAGTTTATACTAGAATAGTTTGCATGTCATTCTGATGAACCAGTTATCCTACTGGCATTAGCTCCATGCAGCTATTATAGTAATAATTCATGGAAAACCAGTTCTGCTTGCAAATATGCCCACTTGACTGTGTAAGGACTGAAAGACATGACAGAACTCCCCGTATGCAGAAGTGCAAGCACACTTCAAATTAGGATGCTACAGTACATAGTTTGACTAGTAACAAATAAAATACTGCTTTTTTTTTTTACCAATAACTTGCAAAATAGTTCTTCCTCTGTTGAAAACCATTAGTCAGGGCATTATTTTCAGAGCTGTCCGTGTTTTGGTACTATCAATGAGGCTGATTCACAAAGAGTAATAACAAAAGGAGCAATATTTTTTAGTGCTGTAAATATGCCAAGACAAAAATGGAAATGTTAAACTTTGTATGAAATTCTGGCTCACATTAATAGATGCAAAAATAAGTCATTATAATATCCGATTAACTTACAAAGTGTGGGTTGAACAGGAAAAGCACTCATACTATCTATCTTCAGTAGTGTTGTCATCTAATATATCCACCTACAGTGGAGTACTGCTAGGAAATGAACACATCTGAATTTTGCATTTATATGTGAAATATCACTATGACCTTAAACCAATGTATAAAGAAGTCAAAAGCACACTTTCTCCTGTCTGTAAAACAAGTATAGAGTGAAAACGTGTCAAAGAACAAACTTTTTCATCAAGACACAGGTAGGAACCTCCTATGACCAACATCATTATAAGTCAGTGCCAAAGCAATGCATTCTAATTAGCAGCAGCTTTAATTGCTGTTGCTAGAAATTGTAACAATCTTTATCCACAGCTGAAAAAAGAAGAAAATGGGCTATCTTCTAACAAAACAGGACAAAGACGCTTCTAGGCAAACAAGGTAGGGACTTTATAGGCTGATTCAGAGTCACAGCTATTAAGGGATCCATGGAAGGAAGCTCGGAGACAATTGCGCGAGAAGCAAGCAGGCATTGCTTGCAGCACAGTGAGAACAAGCTTTCGGCAAGCACCACTCGCTTTGACCAGTGACTTGAAAAGAGTCAATGAAAATAAGCTGGTTGTGCTTCTCTCTTTGCCCATCAATTTCAAGGAGGCTTCTGGGACTATAGAAAGTGAATAGAAGAAAAGTCTGGGTTCTTTATGCTGTGTGGAGCTAACGCCAAAATGATAACTGATTTGCTGGTGAAAAGTTGTAACAACAAAATGAAAGTGTGAGCAACAAAACAGCTGAGATTCAACACTTCTTTCTTCCCCCAAACACGATGGAGAATGCTTTCAAAACCTGAAATGCAATAGCACCAATAGTTTATTTTGACCGGACAGGGCAGCGTGAAGGGAATTAACCAGACAATTTCCATTAACAGCAACATCAGGGTCCTCATTCACAGCTGGAAACAAGGAGCAGACTTTTTTTCCATATTTATCAGTCTGCACTTTATTAAAAAGGTTACACTACAAAAAGTATGTAAACATATTTAAGAAGCAAGGGAAATACTTCAAAGGAGGACTGAGAAATATAAGAGAATTATCAGAGATGCTTAGGTTGGAATTTTCAAATTCATATTCTGTAGGACATGAATATTTTGTCCTCTTAGGCTCTTCTGAAAATCTATTAGCTAGTAGATTTCTTCTGATATTTAACTAATTTAACTGAAATGCAAGAAAGCTGTTCTTACAAAATTAGAATCTACTGAATCTGAAGCAGCTTCAGGGAGCTAAAGTTGATAAGCTATGCACTTCCGAATCTGCAGAGATTGTTTTATGTGAACTTCTACTGTGTACTGCACTAAGCTATGACATGGCAAAACATGCAGTCATCCTGCCTGAGGCTGGGAACCTCAAAGTTTTTTCCGGCACTCTAGCTGAAGCAATTCAAATGCTTTTCTAAATCACATCCTGAATCCTCCAAACCTGCGATTTCAGTAGGATGGGGTTTTCTTTCCCTAAATGATGCTTTCCACATATGAACAATAAGTAGTTTAATTTTGAAACTCAAATGTTGTCTTCTTAAAAGGAAAGCAAGGAATAACAGCATCATGACATGTTCATACCATAAAAAGATAACTTACATTGTAGACAAAGAGACTAAAGTGCTGAAGGCTCCAGGGGTGATAGTGCTGATGTGATTGTCATACAGAGAAAGAAGCCTCACTGAGCTCAGTCCAGCAAAGGTGTCATTGTTTATACAGCTGATAGAGTTGCTCCTCAGCATCCTGCAAGGTTTAAAACAGGGAATTAGGAACTACTGGGAGGGGGGATAACTTCAGGATAGGAGGTCCTTTACCTAGGGCATCAACAGATGCTTCGGCAAGCACTGTGCTCTATTTTTATTGATTGCTGAAGTACAGCACAGCTAAAAGAGGGCTAGATTCATGTAAACATTGTCTCATGAATTTAAAATGCATTTCTTCCACACAACATTAGAGGCTGATGGGAGCGCCACACCTGAAAGGAGTATGAAATTAAAATTATGACTAGTAGCAAACCTGAAATAAAAACTAAAATCTTAATTCAGTAAATATCTGAGAGTAAGTGAAGATGTATTTCAGAGATCAACAGAGAAAGGCTGCCAGAAACGTGTGACACTAACAATACTATCTGCATTACTTCTACTCCTATCATGGATGGTTTTTGTAACTCACACTGCAAAAGTATGGAGGGAAAAATCATCCTCAGCAGAAATCAAGGAATTGCTTAGGAAAGATTTCCAGACCAAACACAAGCTCTGAAATGTCATTATAATAATTAATTTACAAGACAGAAAGCAGTAACCATCCTATAAAATGGTCTTTGCTCCATGCTTGTACCAGATGAATCAGTGCTGTGTTTTGGAAGATACATCTCTGAGTTGTTATGGTAACAATGAACTCAATGATAAAGCCCAATTAATCTGAAAGACTGTAGTATCTTGTTTCACTCCATAGCAAAAAAGGCTCATGTGTATTTGTTACACTGCATGCCAGTCAACATCTGGGTCTGTAAACATCACTACACAGTGGTGATATTCCTACTTAGGTGAAAAATTATTCAGTAATTAAAGCATACTACCACAAATCCACAAAATATATGCAGCTCATGCTGCTGTCCAGTGAATTGATTCTCCAAATCAAGGAGGGTTAATTCAAATTCATGCAATGAACAATGAAAATTCAGACTCCCTTAGAAGTCTGGATTTAAATCTCAGATTTGTATCCGCCAGTTGGGCATTTAGATGCTACATCAATAGATACTTGAGAAACACCACAGAGAGATTAGATATGTCTGGGAAGACATTCACAGTGTAATCATGAACACTCAGTGTTTAAGATCTGAACATTACATTGCTTTTGCATTACTGTTCTCTATGTACAGTTACCATCGCAGGCACTATGGTCTCAATAGTTTTGGTATTGCAACTGGGGTGAAAATGCGTCAGAAAAGAGTCACAGGGCACAGAGACACACACCTTACACATGGAGTACTAAGCTGCCTGAAAGCCACATCAAGACCACAAGCTGTAAAGTGAATAGGGCAGTAAATAAGAGAAGTAAGGCCCTTAGTGGCTTAGTAGCAGTAAGAAACATTGTCTCAATTCTGTATGTAAAGTATCAGGCAGTTGTACTGTAAGATGTGATGACCGAATTTGGATGCCAATATATTTTGCACAGCAATTTATTACATTTCAGGAAACATACAGTATTTTAAAAAATGGACCACGACCCTGTCATGGGTCATGACATGACAATGTGGCCTCTTTGTAAAAGATCACAGTTTTGATGCTCGAAGAAAGTCAATTAATGGACAGAAATATATGTCCCTCAAGCCAAAACCTTTGGGTTTGTATCATGGTTCACCATGCACTGTGTACCCTTCCTGAAGGAAAACTTATACTTACAGATCCTCATATCATGCTGTGTATATTTAGACTGCTTTATCAGCTAGGGGGAAATGTAGGTTAGGTCAGCGGGATAGCTTGAATGTTAAGCATCTTTTTATTAAAAAATGCTGAATTCTGTTTAGGAGTACTGCCACAGGCTGCTTTGCAGTATAAAAATTAATTTAGTATCTATGGACAGTATTTTCAAATCCCTTAGCAAAGTGCATACATGAAATTAAGGAACAGATGGCTGTAACCACAGAAGAAAAAATGTTAAAGGAATAGCAAAAGAAAAGTTCCCTATTCATCATTACAGGCCAAAGTCCTTGAAGTGAAACTTGATTTTCTTTTTACACTTGAGTAAGGACTGAAGTAATTGTGCCATGATACTTTGCAACATAAGAAGTATCTGCTACTGATTAATAAATTGCAGATTTTAAATTGCATTTTGATTCCTAGAGTCTATGGACTGACAGCGTCCACCTAGTCAAGTGCTTTCTTTCTACAGCAGGGAAGACTAGGCAAGAGAGGTGTTTTTCATATATAGCTCATACATATCATCTGGCATGAATCTTTGCTGACACCAGAAACCTAGTCCCTGACTGCTTCTCAGGATGGTGGATGGGGTGGATTAGACACCATCTTGAAATCTTGTCTGTGATCCTTCTTCCAGTATAACTTTTAACACAAAAATAAATCAGTGTTAGGTACTATAAGTTTAAGTGTTAGTTCTCAGAAATAAATTAAAACTGTTGTCTAAGCACAGAAGTAATTCCAAACTGATTTCTTATGCATTTGGACTCTACATCTCCTTCACACTCTCCCCAAACATGACCACATTAATAGTATACCCACATATAATTTTTATGGTACTCAGTGCGGGCAAGAAAGACTATGCTGTGGCTGGTCCAAAGCCATGCCTGTGCTCATGAGCAACTACACCTGGTGCAGAGTATGTGGCCAGCTACCTTCTGTCAGCAGGACCTGTGACAGCTTGGTTATGCCTGCCTTAAAGTTGTTTAGCTATACCTGTTTTGGTGGCAGCAGTAACTTGAGTCATTCTCCTCTCCCTACCTATTGATTTCATATAGTTCGTAGGATATTAAAAATCTTTTAGGCTCATAGCCTACTCTGAGGCTTGGTTTGAGCAGACCAACAATTCCAATTTGGGTGGAGGCGGAGCAGGAGGATGGACTGATAGATAGCAAACATGTTCCTAAATGCCTTGTTTCCATAGGAAATAACGAAAGCATTAAATGATTAAAAGTGCCCAAATTTGACCCATGACAGGTTCACCATCATGTTACTCCTGAAATTCTTGAAAATCTGTTTTTTCACAGAAATAGCAGATAAATCTCAAACCTATCCAGGACTAGAAATATATTGAAGACTTCATGACAGTGATACAAGACCCTGCCTTAGAGCTTGTTGTCTAGTAAGAGATATTTTAGCAGGCATTGCTCAACTTGACCACTCTCACTCAACTTACAGAGGAACAGAGAAAGACAGGTCTTTGCACTTACAATGTCTTTAGCCCTGTGAGGCCTCTAAACATTCGTCCATGCACTGATTCCAGTTGATTCTCTGTCAGAATCAGTTCCTGCACTCCTGAAGCTCCATCAAATGTGCCTTCTCGGATCTCCTTGATCTTATTGTTGCTTAGATTTCTGGAAGAACACAACCAGTCACAATAAGAAAATTATTAGCGTTTTATTCCAAACATATGTCATCACACTGGAAGGAGGAAGATAGGAAGAATATGTGCCTTTTAGTGGTTATCTAGAGAGACATTCTTTCAGCAAGGAGAGCATACAGAAGTGCAAAAGTATACCTACTGTACTTACAAATAGCTCCCCTTCACTCATCAAAACCACAATTATATCAGATATATCAAGAGTATTTAAATTAACAGAATTACCAGCTCTTACACCTCATGTCCTTCTTGCTTATAAGGGTCTCAGGGATACAAAAAGTGGGGGTTTCTAACATCTGATTTATGTCCATGAAGTTATGGACCATGCTTGGGACCGGGTGCTCGTCTGGCAAGAATCGGTTAATGTTACTGTTATTGAAATAGGTACCACACATTGAAATATGGACCACTTTTTTATAGTGTACCAGGACCTTTACTCTCTTTAAACTCAACACTGGAATAACATACAAAACTGTGTGACTGCATATATCTGATACAAATTTTAGTATGTGCACTCATGAACTTCCAGGCACATAAATTTAACACACCACTCGAAATGAGTATCACTTAATTCTCAATTCACAGCTACTGCAATATACAGCATTATTTTCTAAATATTTACTCTGCCTATACAGTCTCAAGGTGTTTGCTTATAGATCAACATTGGAAAACTTCAATCTACAAAGTCAAATGAAGTTCTGATGAAATGCAAAATTAATCTTGTGAATATTTCATATTTGTGAAAAACCCAGTGAAAACTTCTGAATGATAAAATGCCATTAGAGATGCATAAAAATAAATGGCATTTAATTATTTAAAACATTTATATAAAAGGCCTTAAGCACATTAAAACCTTGGGCCTCAGTCCTTCAAGTATCTTCTATGATGCCCTGTATAGATTATGATGGATAATCCTATTTGTTTAGGTTTATGACAGGAAACACTATTCTTTGTTTTACTGTCTACAACAAAAAAGGGAAAGTAAAAGATATGCTCTTGCTCCCAAGAAGACGCCAAATTCCAACACTATTACTCATACTGAATAGCACATTATTCCAGAAATGATCCCGGTACACACACAGCATGAGTAATAGTTTCAAAATCCAATTCCAGGTGATATAAAACAAATGACAAGGTATCAGATTAACACCTGGGCTACTCTGCTCAGAAGAACAGGCAATCTTGTTGGGATAAAAGTTGACAGAAGATATGGCAACAGGACAGCTTGGCCTCAGATAGAAATAATGTGGGTCTTGCTCTTTGCAGACGTCATCACATAATTAAAAAAAAAAAAAAAAAAAAAAAAAAATTAAGTCTTGGAGACATGTTTCATGTGGGAAACTTGAGTATGCTGGTTTATGTCCGCTGAACAACTGTCAGATAGTGGGCCCTACAGCATGTGGCCCATCACCTCTTGTGCATTCTGTGATCAGAAAGAAAAGGAGTATGCTAGCAATCAGCCAAAAATAACATAAAAACATATAGAAATACTTACACGCAGATTTTGCTTTCCAGAAGTTTAGTGCTTTGTGCTAACACTCACATGAAGAGTTTATGTTCAGTGTCAAAGCAAGTCAAGGAAGGATATTCTGACATATGCATTTAATTTTGGGGCTCAGCTATTTCTCTAGTGGAAATGTTTATAGCTCAGCATCTCTTTTGAATGCTGGCATAAATAAATGCTCTCAATGATCCCTCTCCTGGTAAAGATCATGCCGTGATGCATATTTGCACAAAAATAAATAAGAAAATGTTTGTGGGAAGGGAGGGTGAGTTACTATAATACACAAAGAGGTTGACTTTCAATTCACAAATTGCAAACTGACCTATATTTGTAGTTACAAAGTTTTTTTAGTAAGTGTTTATCATCTAAAAGATATTTAGTCACATATATTAAAGCATGGGTGCAATTTTAACGGATTACTGGATGCTTAAGGCAAAAAAGGGCAAATATTGGAGAAAAAGGCTGGCCATAATTTGCAAAGGAGTTGGAACCCTTATACAATCCAGACCATCTGAATTTTAATTGCTGCCAAAGAACTTCTGCAGATAGGGAACCTCACTCATTTGAGTTAATAGTGCCTGATCATTTCAACAACACGAAATTATCCAAAAATATACTAGCAGTTTCAGAAGAAGCCATTTATATATACCTTTCCCATGCAAAAGATTTGAAAATCCAAGATTAAATGCTCTGGTGAAACCAAAGTTGCAAGGCAGAGAAAAGACAAACGTTACAATAATAAATAGGTAAAGACGACACTGCCCTGCAGTTCCACTTGGAGTATTGTTAAAGTAGATGTTCTGCCAACCTGGATTTCTTTATTTGTCTTCCTGAATTAAAGCTTCCCATATCAGAATGAAATAAACAAACAAAAATGGTAGATGACAGCACTCATTCACTAAAAAAAGAGAGAAATGTATTCTCCTTAAAGTCTGACCTACTAGAAAAATAAACATGAGAAATTACATACTTTTCAGTCTAGAATTACCAGCAAAAATAATCAGCTGATATAAGCCTTGAAAAATGAAAGCAGTGAAACATTTGCCTGCTCTGCAACTCGGAGAGCTCTACTCCATCCTTCCCAGCACTAAAAGAATCTTTCATATATGATCATAGCACTTGACAAGGAATTATTTTTTTATAATCAGAAAAAAACTTCTGACAGCCTTTACAGCAAACTCCCATTACAGAAAAGCCCCATCCTCTTGGAACGCTAAGCTTCTGTAAGGAATTCTTCTTGAAATACTGGAAGATGGTGGAAAAGAAAATGAGTCTTGACTATTTCCCAAGATACCTATGCCCTCTGGCAAGACCCAAATGCGAACCTATAGTCAACCTGGTCACTCAAGAAATGTTATTGTTTCCATAAGGACTCCGTGATTTACCCTGGTGATAATGTTTAATCCTATTTCCAGACTTTTATGTTGGGCAAGAGGTCAAAGGAAATTTTCAGAAAGCCTGGGTTTACTTTATGTGGGACTGTGAATAGGAAATTAACAGATCTAAGAAGCTATCAAGGTGACATTGTTCACACAGCTCACTTTTCAGTCAGATTTTACTTACTTTATGGCTAAAGTTTAGAATAATATTATTTCTGTTGATCTTATAACTTCAACACAGAACAAGCTGGAGTCTATTCAGGCTTAACAGAACCACTCACCCTGCTATACCTGCTGGATCAATTTTAACATTCCAGCATGCTATTTATCGCTGTGTTACTGACACACCTTCCCACAAGAGCAACCACCAGAGTGCAGTCCAACTACAAAGGCTCTGCTTGGTCTCACCTTGAACCTTGTAGTTTTATCATACAAACAGCCTGTTCTGAGTGGGGGTTTCCCTAAAAATATTTCTGTCGGTTGGTGACATGTTTGGAATTTTTAAGTATATGTTAGAAGGAAAATCCCAATGCTGTTTGCATTCTTCTGCAGGAGGCTGAGAAGGTTTTACAGCTTTTACCAGCAGTCTGTCTGGCTTTTATAGAGTGTCTTGTTCTCAGCAGCAGGATGGCACTGAAAGTCTTAAATACTACAGACAGACAGTGAAGTACACCCAGTGACACTCCTACATTCATTCAGCAGAGCAGACGGATGGCCTCACTGGAAAAAAAGGGAGGCAGATGACAAGCCCAAATGCCATGTACCACAACACTGTCTACAATATTATTTCCAGAAAATAAAGTCCATTTCTGTATAACAAGTAACAGATGACTGCAACCTCAATTGCCATGGCAAAATTTATGCTTAGGGAAAAGAACAGCAGGTAACAGCTGTTTCCAAGGACACAAACTACTTTTACGTCCCCAAGAAACTTGAGATTTTGTTTTGAAACTGACTTCTGGTCTGCAAACGTTGTCATGATTCAATTTCATTTTGCATGTAAAATGTGTTAAATCCTGGGCTAACACTCCATACAATTCAATGTAGGTGAAATATTTACAGACAAATTAAGCCTCCAAAGGCAATTATATACTAGAGGTGGGGTCAGCAGTACCAGCTATTGCTGAGACAGCCTGACACTTCCTATTATAAGACCATATTTTATGTTCACTTTGTAACTTTGGCAAGATTTAACAGAATGAACTGTTAGATGTCCCTTTCAGGTTTTGACGTAAGTATTTTTTACTGTTCTTGTTCCCTGAGAAAAAAGGTCAGTCCCCTTTCTCCCCAGCAGTGCATAAAGTATGGCAGCTCACCTTTTTATTTTGAATGTGAGCTCATTGCCAATTTTTTCTCTGCAGAAACAGCTGTCGGGACCTCAGTAGGAATGGCCATTCCCACTGATTTCCTGTACGCACCGGGGAGTGGGCAGGCTCTGGAGCTGACATCTGGGAGCTGCAGCTTCTCCCTGTGGGTCAGCATCCCATTTTCAGCAAGCAAGTATATCTCCGTGCTCCCACTGAGTTAAGTACCCACGGGATTTTGGAGCTTGAACCTGTCTGCCATGGCCAGAAGACCCCTCCAGGCTCCCACTGCCCTGGGAGTCCCCAAGCACTGGAGGGTTTTTTCACTGATTAACAACTTGAGGTAGTCCCAGGGAGTCATGGGATACCCAGTGTTTGCTTCATGCTGAATTTGGTAGTTGCTGCGAGCAAAGAACTGCTCCCTTCCACAAAAGTCAAAACCTTACCTCTGTGAATGGTAGTGTTGCCTCTCACCCCAGCCTGATGCGAGATCTTGCTGTGTTGAGTGAGATCATCTCCCACTGGCAACATACTCCTCTGTGAAAGGCAGAAGCTTCCAGCTCCCAGGGCTGGAGGGCAGCAGGACGTGGAGCCTTTCTATCTCGCAGGGATAGGATATCCCCCAAAACCCAAGTCATGGAGCTGCTCCCACTCTTATGGAGCTCAGAAACACACCCTTGTATTTCTCCTGCACTTCAAGCAGATTCAAATTGAAAAATACTAGCAACACAGTTCTCGGAGCCTGGAAGTCACTGTAATGTGACTTTAGTTTTCACAGACAAGTCATCCCTTTACACTTGCAAGATCAGGTGAGGTAATATGGTAAGAATGCAATGAAAGCATCACAGCGTTCTGGGCATTTTGCAAAACCCACTGGAGAACCCAGTAAATTACTTCTGGACCCAGTTAGATCTGTCTACAGGAATCTACATCAACCTTTTTATTCTACTGTAAAAAGCATTAAACATAAAGATGGATTAAAATGCAGGTTATGAAAACAGCATTACGTATATGGGATCTTGCAGCTAATTATTGAAGTTGATTTAAAAAAAAAAAAAAAAAGGCATATGCAGACATGTTAACCTTTTCAAAACCAGCAGGGTAATCTCAGCAATTTAATTCCTAAATAAAATGTGGCATAACTTTGCATATGGATCTATGACCTTTAAATTTCTATATGAAGATTTCAATTTTGTTGTGCATTAAAATGTATTAAATCCTGGGCTGACACATCATACAATAAGATTCAGCCTAGAAGGAATATTTACAGACAAATTACACCCCAAAAGCTAATTTTATATTAGAGGTGAGGTTGGCGGTACCACCTATTGCAAAGGGGTTCTGACACGTCTCTCTTTTTTTTTAATGTTTACTTTATAACATTGGTAAGATTGAAAAGAATGAACTGTCAGATATCCTTTTCATGTTTAGAGGTAGATACATTTTATTTTTATTTTTCTCATATCTCAAAACTCTGATAATCTTTTTGTGAAAAGCTCAAAGCACTCAAATTCTGATTTCAAATTTGTTAATTGGTAACTATGATGTAGGTGTTTTATTCAAAGGATACATCTTCCCTGTGAGAATCTGTTAGGATTTGGCTGAATTCTTAGTCTTTAACAAAGAGATTTAAGATTCCTGCCACAGTCCAAGGAGACTGCAAGGCAAATATTTTGGAAAATGTGAATTTTAGGAGCTAATTTTCCAGAGATTTTTTTGACTGCAGATTCTTTTTCAGATGACACCTTCCAATGTCTCTCAAGACAGTGCACGACACTGAGCTACAGACTCTGCAAAGTGTGGGACTGGGCACATTTCTTTATCCAAGTTACTATTCTACCAATCCCAGGTAGTATTAAGAAGTAATGTCCTTGGCTGGATAGAAAGGGGGCCCCAGAGAGATCTGTGAAGGCTATAAAAACAGCTCAAGGCAATGCAGCGGAGTAACTGTGCGTGAGGGCTAGGAAGGGAGCCTGAGTGAGAAGAGTAGGAGTTTTGTCAGTGGCTAGAGAGAGGTAGAGAGAAGAGGGACAGGACACTGGCCTTACACTGAAGCAAAACATGGTGAGAACAGAAACCGCACTGAATCAGGAGACGAGGAACCTAGCAAGGGATTGGGACAATCGTGCAACTGAAAATTATTATGTGAATACATAATTAAAGACTATTTTCACATATACACACTGGAGTAACCCTACTATGTCAATGCCAAATCTATGACTACTTCCCTTTGGAATCTTATTCGAAAACCCAAGAGGCTGTGATACACCACAACACACACACAGACACAGACAACTGACGGAGTTTGAGTGACAAAACAGAAAATGTGAGCATACACCTAGAATGCAAGTAAAATCTGAAACCTCCTCAAGGTCCAATTTACAGACCACCTCAGAGTGTTTATGTTATAAACCAAAGCTACACTTAAGCATAATGTTAGATGAGGAGGCACCAAGATGAAACACCCATCAAAAGGAAGGAAGAGCTAATTCTTCTCTCTCTGGAATTATGCTGGAGCTTTACTAGCCACAGTGGAACTGCAGTACTCTTAAAGTAGTCTCTTTGCAAATTTCCTTGACACAGATCCGTCACTAGTCTTAAACTGAAGTGAAGGACAATCAGAGGGCAATGATTCAAATGCCCATTCAGATATCCAGATTCCAGATATTCAGATTCATTTCAGAAGAAAAAGAATTACAGAGATTAAACAAAGAAAAAAAGAAAAAAAAGGTGATTTAGGCTAATGGTCTGCCACTGCAAAGCTCTGAACTGTTTTCTTAAGCCTAGGAAGCAATGCAATTTCCAGACAGATTTTTCCACCTGCTGTTTTCCTTTAACACTTGAACAGACAAGGAATATGATGAGACAGAGTCAATATTGCCAAACAAATAACAGTAAAATTTCTTGTCCCTTACAGGCACTGAAAAATGGGGATTTGATCAATATTATTCCTCCTTAATTTAATAGCAGCAGTAAGACTTAATGAAGACCACATGCACCACATTCCTGCCACACACACACAGCTGCTGCATTAGGACCATTAGCAGCAGCAATCCCATCCACTGGTATTTACCTACATTTCCCTTCTTGCATGATGGAGAGGTGTCTATTATTAGCAGAAGGATATGTAGTAAAGGCCAAATAATAACATAGAAGGAAAAGAGTGTTTGCTTGCTTGTTTGTTTTTTTCCTGGTAACCCCTTCCCTTCACAAAATGGACCTAGGAGAATTAGAAAAAAAGAAGTCTAATCTGGCTTTTAAAGGATCAAGATACTAAGGTTATGGTTGAAATGTTGCTCTGCTTATACAAACCCCCACCCTTTTCAGACAATCCCTTTACTCAAATTGAGATACTTCTTTACAACATCAGGTAGAACAAAAGAAATTAGCTCAACTACAAATATTACCTAAAGAGCCTCTGCTTGGAGGCTGCCACTAAAAATCCATATGAAAGACACTTTTTAAGAGGTGTAGGGCACAACTTCTTTTTGCCATCTGTTTGAACTGCACCTGTACACCTCAGTTCTCACTGCCTACCAAGAACAGAGCAGAAAGATTTTTTGTTTCACAGGAAACAAATGCTTAAAAAAACCTCTCGTAACTGTTTCATGCTGCATTTATGCATAACAACACAGCCCTTTCGAGGCATCCCTCCCCCCCGAGTGATTAATGGGAACAGGAAGGACAGCACCATAACTTGCCTACAATACGTTTTAAATAAAATGAAAGACATTATTCCAGCTATCACACCTCTCCAGTTTTCAAAACATAAATCCTGAAGGTTTGATGAGGACACATGCTTTTCAATTTGTTTGTACTTTTATATACCATGCATTTTTCATTCCCGTTTACTATCTACTTACATAGACAACAGAGAACTTCAACAATGTCAATGACTTTTTCTAAGTGCACTGTAGCTACAACTTACGGATTCATAAAGTACGAGGCTAATGTATATGATTAATTCCCCAAACCTGGTGGCCTGTACTTGCACAAATACAACCCCCGCTCCCAAACCTGCAGTGCTGCATCTGAAACTCTTGCAGAAATATAACTGACGTAAGAATCCCACTACAGTTGCCTCCAAAGCCCCCGAGATCTTACACGGATTCAAATGGCTAGGAAGATCCAGATGGCAGAAACCATGTGAAATGAATGCAGAACAAAAAGCCTGGTTGGTTGGTTTCCCTAAATTACCTTGACTCTAGCAATAAAATCTTTCTGAAAATAAACACTTAGACGAGACATTAGCAAGGGGGCCAATTATTAAAACTTTCAATAACTTCAGAAAGATCCATTTAGAATACTATCAGGAGGTATCTAACATATTATCCTCTTTCCAAAACACAGCTCTTATTAAATGTATACTTTGTACAGTGCCAGCACTCAGGCTGTTAACAGAATTATACGGATATATTTGAATGACTGATCTCTAAATTAGCTAATTGATTCTCCTCTCTAAAACAGTAATAATCAAAAGAAGCTGCCATCATCTATAACTTGTAATATTTTTTTCCCTTGACTATTTGAAACAATCACACTAGTTGGAATTGCACAATACATTCAAAAGACAAAACCAAAATGCTAAACTTTGTAGCCATCTCTAACAATAAGCATACATCTGAATAAATTACAGGACAGAATTCTGTTCAGTCTCCATGAGTTGAAGACTTTAAGAAATATAGCCTAAAGAATACTGAAATGTCAGCCTAGGGATCTCCATCTGTCACTGTGGTTTAACTGGGCCTGTCCACTTAACAGGCAACTCATTCAGTTTCCTTAAATTCACATTAAAAAAGCGATTTCTGCTACTGCAGTACTAAACTATAAAAAAATAATCCCTTCCTCCTTCTTTATAATCCAAGGCAGCATGTATTCTAACAAGCAAGTAACGCAAACTTACATTTTTCTGAGGTTGGGCAATTTCTTGAAGAGTCCGATAGCTTCCAAAACAGAAATATCATTGTCATTCAGACGCCTGATAGGAATAAACAAAGAGGCATTTAATACTTCACAGATGTCTATAGATATATGTCTGTGACTTACAGGGCTGCCACACAGAGAACTATGACCTTTGTTGAGCAAGACACTATCTGCCATCTCTCGCAGACTCCTAGAGTGAAAAGAGTTTAGCTTTGAAGGAAAAGGAACACAGAAGAGTATCTACAGTAAAAGCTTAGGATGCCTTTAAGAGCATAATGCCAAAGGACAGTGTCAGAATGCTGCCTTCTTCCAGTGCACAGGATAAGGGATTATTAACCTTAACCATTACACAGCCTTGTTTGTGTGATTAAACCTCCCTCACGCATTCTGCTACAGAAGACATGCAATTGGAGATGTGGTCCATGTAAACAGAAGGGACCTCATTTCAGGTCCTTTCCCATCAAAGTCTACTGGTCTTCAAAATTAATGCAAAGGCCACTGTCTTGGCAGGCTTGGGTGCAAAACTGTTTCCCTGATTACATGTAGCTCCATTATTCTATGTAGAAACTTTGCTGTGTTTCTGGATATGGCTCTCTCATATTTTTCTATCTTAACTTCAGATCAACAATTTTTGTGGGGATTTAAACAGAGTATCTGAAGTACCGTAAATAGAATACTAACACAAAAAGAGAATTGTGTTTGAAGGGGCTACTAATATAACAAAAGAACCAGATTCTTCAGTTACTAAGTAATAAACATGTTTTCTCATACTCTCTTTAGCAGTATATTATGTTTCTAATTTTGAAGAATCTCTAAAAGCAAATAAATTTCATAAAATCACTTATAGCTTAACAATACATTAGTTTTAGTGAGAGCCACTTCATCCAAATAGCAGGCACTGCTGAGATGGAATGAGCTCCTGATCACAGATTTAACTCAAAAAGGGTTAATCCATTTCTTAAATAAAAATGACCAGATGCAAAGACAAAGGACTCAAAGGTAGAATGGAAAGGAACCATGCAGCTTGGGCCACATAACAGGTCAACACTTCAAGAAGACACACACAGGCAGCTGATGCACAGGGCCGTGGCTCCTTTCTCATCCCCACAGTTGGCATGAATGCTAAGGAAATAAGAGAGTTGTGGTGCTCCTTTGAAATAAAATTAACTTCCCCTTTTTCACACAGGGATTAAAGTAGAAGGTGCCTTGAATTGGTCTGAGTCCCTTTTACAGCCTTTAAAAACCAGGAAAACCAACATGCCCTGCTGAGCACATCTTGGAGAGCCAGCACTTACAGATCAGTAGTATATTCAGGAAGGTGACTGGGTAATCGGATGAGTTTTTGGTTAGAGCAGTCTACAATTGTTCCCTCGCAGCGACACTTCTCAGGACAGACAAGGTCCATGAAACACTTCCCGGTGAATTTACTTCTGTAATCCTCTGACCCTGCAATAAAAGGAAAATATATTTCATCAAACAGTTCCTGATAACTGCAGCTATCAGAGATTTTATGGAATCTATTCTCAACACCGCCTCCTGTCAGCTCCCAGCTCCTGCACACAATTTTAATACCTGCCAAAAAATTTTGTTCAGCAATTTTTCAAATTAGTCCCAAGACTAGCCTCTGTTTTTCCACTCTTCCCTTGATAGATTAATTCCTTGTCTAACAAGCCTACCTGTTAAAGGTATTTTTTGAAGCACGTCTAGTTAGCTGCTGGAGTCTGCTTCAAATGAGCTCCAGCAAAGTCACTTTTTCCCATTTGGAACGTAGTCCAGCAACAGGGAAAAGGGATCTCCTGAAAGCAGGAGCTATCTTGGTGCATTCAAATGACAAAGGATTTTTAAAGATGTCATTAAAAAGCCTGAAATTTTCAGATCTCAGCTATTAGAACTATTTTTGAGAGAAATCTTTTATGAAAGAACCTTGTCAATTTTCCAACAACTAGATACCTTTATTAACTATGTTAAACAAACAACAAAGGAAAGTAATAGCAGTTTAAATCATTTTCATTTTAATTAAGGAATGGGTAGACCATACTTAGTGAGAAGCACTCCCTAATGTACCATTATACCATGATTAACAGACTTCTTTGACTAGGTTTTTGACCCGTTCTAATGAAATGCTTTTCCAATTAGGTTCAGTGAACTAATCTGTCCTTTTCAGGTTTGTTTTTTTCTCTTTTAATAACAGCAGGTTGGAAACTTGATCTCTGTGCTTCAAGGAACTAGGAGTATTAATAAATGTGTATGTAAGCAAAGTGTTGCCAAGATCCCACCATGCAATACCTGCCCACTCACTTCATATTTCATGATGGAAGCACCAGAATTGTCTCAGGAACCTTGTGTAATGCTATGTGATCATAACTACCAAGAAGTATTTTTTAACTTTTCCAGAGTTTTAAAAGTCAATTGCAAGTCTTTCTCAGGAATGATCTGAGCAAGTTCAGCTTTTAAGAACCTGAAAATGTCAATAAAAACTTAAACCTGAGCTGAAATTTTTTTTTAGAGACTTGATGACATTCATCACCTGCTTCCCCTTCCCAGACTGATAAATACACCACTGCTCATTTTATGACTGCATGCTATTTTCTGGAAGAAAAAAGAAGTCACCTAAATCCACTATTATTTTAATTTATGTTACACATTACCTCCACAGGGTGATGCAGTGAAAGCAAGCAATTCTGCAGGCAATCTAACATTTTGATTCCACAGACACACTTCGGTTTAGTTTTGTAATTCCAAACTAGATTATGAGAAACATCACATGCGGCTTTGTACATTACCACTTCTGTGGTGCTAAATACTTTGTTATCATGATTATTGTAAATTGTACCTCTAAGGTGAGACTTTGCTTCCGTATTGTAGCTTGACACTACAGCATTTAAAATATTAGGACCACTGCACATTTTAAAATATTATAAAAATACAGTCTAAGCCTTTCCCCACATGGCCATCATTTAAACTCTTATCCTTTCAAAAAACCCCATCTGATTTCCAGTCCTAAAAATTGCAGGCTTGGTAGTCAGACTACAATGTCAAGTGACGAGCGTATTATGGTTTGATTACAAGAACATACAGCTATTCTTTCTTAGGTCTATGACACAGTACATTGGGTTGTTTATGATTCCTTGGAAATAATGCCAAAGTTGAACAGTTATCAGGACCAGAGTTTATTAAAACTTCTACAATTACAGTACGCCTTGAAAAACCCACTGAAATTTTTCAGTGATCAGAAAGTGTCTTGGAAATCCCCAAATTAACCCTTGAAGAAGCACTTCTAATTTTCATTGTAAAAGCTTTCTTTGAAAGAATAATCACAAATGTCATGAAGTTACACAGGGTAAAAATTTATTAAGCATAATTTTTAGTCTACTGGTGGATACAAGAGATTCATCTTCCTATGGGAAAAAAGAAGGATGAGAAAGTAAGTGGAATGCTTTATGAAGGAGAAAAAGGGGTGTGTAACATTAGAGGGTGAAAATCAATTTTTGGTTTTCTCTCGAGCTTTCTGGCAAAAGAAAGAAAGAATATTTACCACATTTTGATTTAGCAGTCTCACTCTCTTGATGGCATACAACTTTCCACACTGCATCAGCTATAAGAAGTTGATCTTGCCTGGGCATCAGTCCACTGCCTCCATGCTTGCAACAGGGGGAAGCCCTCTCAGCTCAACAGGAGAGGAAGGGAGCAAACATCACCTTAGTACTTTTCTTTCTTTCTCTCTCTTTTTTTTTCCTCTTCTGTTTTTTTTCTTCTAAATTAGTTTAAATAAGAGTTACCCAGGTAAGCACTGAGTCAAAAGTAATCAATAGCATGTATATGCTCAGTAAGTACTTGGTCATCCATTAGACTGTGAGACAGCAGGAATCACCTGCCAAAGACTAGATAAAATTTACTATTTTGACCTGAGCCTTGAGATCACTTGGACAGGTGGCTGCTCTATTAAGATATGCCCATCTGGGATACTAATGTGAAATTCAGCCATCTGCTTGCAGAACTATTTAAGTGCGTATATCTGTTTCTACACACAGGGCTTTATCAGTGGACTACTGCAGGGCTCTGAGCGAACATGACAGGATTCAGGAAGTACAATTAACCATCACATGCATGCAGTACTTCTGGCACACTATAAAATAACCTGTGGAAAGCCATGGAAAAGAAATGCAGGACAGGCACAGAAGAAACACTTGGCTTCATTTTACTATTCCAGACCAGCCATTTGGTCATATTATTATACCTGAAAGCATGTGTGCACTGTAGCTGACAAATCTGTGAAGCTTGGCTGAATGTAAAACATGACTTAGGAGTTTCTAGGAATTTCCAAAATTAAAAAGAATTAAGTATGCTATAAAATGAGTAGCCAAGGCAACAGCAAGGCCTGTGTTTAACTGAGGGCAACTCTGTTTATCTGAATTGCTAGTTAGTCTGATAACATTTTCATTTCAGAACCTATGTGATACCACTATTAGGTACCAGGATATTACAATTCCTCAGTATCATAAAACAAACACTTATGTAATTCTACAAAACAGCAATATTGAGATAAAGAAACACCACATTTCCAAGTGCTCAAAAATTTTAGGTGCCTTTCTAATACCCACATGGAGAAATTAAGCAACTGAGACAAATACCTTTTTGTCCTATTCTTCTTTTTAAGCATTGTTTGGCAAATCTGATTTCAGTTTTTAAAACTTAGCTTTGCCTAAAGTACTTAAAAGGAGTGCTGGATGAACTGTTCTGGAAAAAATCAAGCTGTCTCAAGAGGGGCTTGGATGCTGAGCTGATAAATTCATTCTAGAAAAGATGCATCCTCAAATTTGGCAACAAAAACATGATCACAGAGATCACTTGGTCTAAAACTTGGACAAAAACCCAGGAATCCCGACAATCACTTCTTCTTGTAACCACTAGATTGAAATTCTCATAGGCTTTCAGGAAAAAAAGGAGGTACATTGTTTGTCATGATTTCACATTGCTAGTATTAATTCTTATCACTAATGACAGGCAAAATCTAAGAATCTCAGATGTCCTTCTGATGTCTCCACAACAGATATGTAACAAATCTGCAAGATGAGGCAGTATTTCTGTATAAGGAAACTTCTATATGAGGCTCTCAAAGTCACTTATGAATAGGTGTAATTATCTCTACTTTACATCAGGGTTGGGGGGTGGGGGCAGCAGGAAGTTAGGCAGAAATATGTTAAAGATCTTATCTAAGCTGTCAAAGCTAAAATGGCCCATTTGGGTATGCTGACTCAGCTTTATGCTATGGAACTATTGGATAATACTGTTTTCATACAGGCCATGTTACCCATATAATTTTGAGAGATAAAAGGTAATGCTTTGCAGACTCTTCTGCAGTTCTTTTGCAGTATAGACCTTCATAATAAAATGCCAGCACATTAAGATTGCTCAGATCAGGTCCAAAGTTACATTAAGTAGCAGGCATCTTGTTACAGAAACAGCATCCAAAGTGTACCTCAAGTAGAAGGGCTCACTGGACAGCTCAAATAGAGGGATGTAGCTTACATTATTTATAAGTAAGAAGTCAAAAATGATTTTTCATCTCTGTAGGTATGGCTGGAATCACCCTTGAATCATATTAATCAACAGGATGCCTAACTCCTTCATTCTAAGAGCAATTAAACAGATTAATGACTTAGAAATGATTATTCTGCATGCAAGCCCTCTGGAAAGTCTGTCGAAAACATCACTAGGGCTCCCCTCTGCAGTGCCCGGGAGACTGGTTAAGCAACACTTCACCTTTTTTCATTTTTCCTGTGAGAAAAGGGGGAATCTCTCACCTTTTGGTGCTTCTGAAAACAGCAGAAGTATCCCAGCATGCCATGCGGCAGGGAGTATGCAGCCTTCCATGGTGCTTGACAGAACCATGTTCAATTTGTATTGTTCTACCACATGGTTAGATCAAGCACAAAGGAAAACCCCATGAACAGCCAGAGTCAGAGTTAGGCAGCGCCAAAGAGAGGAGAGCGTTGAGAGGAAGCAGCATGGAGAAGCACAAGCTGAAGGTTCACGGAGAGCTGCTCTCCACTCCACCCATGCAAAAAGGTGCTGGATACAAGAGGTCATCCTTTACGCTACAACTGCAGGAACACCCTGGAGCACAATTGGGGTTAGTGTACAAGAACAGAGCCCAGGCGAATTCAGAGACAGAACTAATATGATAGAAAATACTACCAAAGGACTGCAAACAGCTCCTTCCAGGAAGGATGTACAACTTCCACCACATACTGAATGCCCGATCTACACTGCTCTTTATTAGCTACTTACTCTCTCCCAGTGTCTCCTTTCAGTATAAATGCCATTTTGGTTTGGTCCAAATTGCATTTATTTAAATGCAGTTTTGAAATACCGCAGCTCATATTAATAGTAGATTCTGAGCTGATGGCCAAGCTCTGGCATTAAATGCTCCCCAAGCTCCTTTT